AATATTAATAAGTGCTGCACCCTCCCAGCAAAAATACAGGAAATGTGATTTTTTAAAATGGCAATTTGCCGAAAACACTACCGGCTCTTTCTCAACTCTCAAGCTAACAGGATGCAGTTCTAAAACCAGTGTGTGAAAAAAAACTGGGCATCAACAGGATACCATCATCACTATCATCACCACCATCTTCACATCAAAATCATGATCAGTGTCATTTCAAACACCAGTTTTCTGCTAAACCTGCACATTTTCTATCAGCAACATTGTTGCTGTCATCAATGCCACAACCATTTATGACAGGATTAATTTTATCAGCTATTTTAGCATTTCAGCAGTTAGGGGGTGTCAGTTTTTCAAAATTTGTTTGGGGGAGTGCTTCCCCCAGACCCATCCAGAGGGTGTGGCATTTCCTGGGATCGCTGTCTTGTTTATGCCTACTTTGTAGGGTCCTGCTGCCTTATGTCCTACTGTCCTACTGCTGCAGTGAGAACTGATGATGGTAAATGTCCTGGCTAATACCATTGCTTGACAGTGATAAATGAGAGGATTGCTCTTGGTAGCAATATGTTGTTACTATTACCTCCAAATTTAAACAGCTTTGAAGTCTGCATAATCTCATTTCATTTAATATAAAATAATTATAATTTTTTTCTTACTTTTTTCCTCTTCCAACCTCCTGTTAACTTTGTATGCCTGACCCACCTCAATTAATGTTCCTGCTACTTAGTGGGTCAGAACTATCTTATATATTTATGTAAAGTAAATAAAGGTTGTTTGTTTTGTATCATTGTTGGTGTGGTAATAACAACTTAAAGGGGTGTCTCTTCTAAATGAATTTGGCACTCTTTTTCTTTTTTTTTTATTTGCTGCTTTTTAAATATGCTTGTCTTTTTTTATTCACAATGCTTCATTTATGTTTATCCTTTATTTTTTCTATACATTTTATTTTAGCTTATTGATTTTGGTGCATTCCAACAGAACACTATCATTGACACTGGCTTTAGTCAGCCACAACAGGTACATGTTATACATGGGTGCTTGATTTGCCAGCTTATTACATTGTCCTTCATTTTTAAAACATTTTCCACAATACCCTTTCATTTTTATTTTTGTTATTAATTTCTGGTGGTGTATTTTGGCAAAGAAAAATGCCAAGATGTATAATCCTTGCAGGCTTTGTTTGCTATGTCAATTATCTCAAATAGGGGATTGTCAAAATGGGATGGAGTAGACAGGACATTGAAGGAAGCAAAAGGCTTCAAGCTAATGGCAATATGGCTTGTGTCGCAACTTTGCTGTCCTTGTTGCAATATTATTCACTTGGTCTTCTGCAGAACAACCATTTAACCACTAACAATGATTATTATAAATTTTTCTTTCCAACAGCTCAACTCCACTGCACCTCAGGAGTCAAATGAGGAGTCACTTCTAAAAGATGATTCAACAACAAACAAGTCAACTAAAGGTAGAGAAATTAATTGCTTATTGTAGTTACTTTTTCAAAATGTATTTTATTAATGATTCTTTCCTGGCAAGCTATCCCAACCCCAGATACCACATGAGTAAAGTTGAATGAAAGAGATAATTATAATTATTAAAATGTGGAAAGGTCTGTCAGTTTGACTTGCCAAATTTTTGTTTGGAATCACTTTGTGCATGAATAAATCTACATCTTGTGACTAGGTTCTTAACCCAAGTGTTTTCAATATTTGCTAAGGGTGCATCAAAATGTCTGATCACTGTGACATTACTTAATTATGTATTTGTGCACTTTGCTTTTGTTTATCCTTCCTACAGACAGCATCATGGCATTGTATGCTCCAAAAAGTCAAAATAATCAACCACAGATGTATAATGTTCCAGGAGGGGTGTACATAACTCCACAGCAACATCAACAGCAGCCTCGCCCGGCTGCACCCGCCATGTTCAACAGAATGGGCTCAATGCCTGTCCATGGTGTTTCTATGGGTATGGGTCCCCAACTGGGGAATCCCCATCAGCAGGTAGTCATGCAACAGAGACAACAACAACAGCAACAACAGGTAAAGCTATTTTTAAAATCTCCTTTCAATGAGTGAGGGTTCCTGTTCCTGTCAAGGAAGTTGTAACTTTTGATTCTGTTTTGAAAACTACTATGATATTCCCATCAAAATCAAATCTATTTTATGCAGTTGAATGCCCTGTCTACAATGGCCACCTTGGGGGTACAGTAAAATCCCAATTTCTTGAACCCTCTGTTTTAGGAAATTCCTGATCAATAATTCGAACCAAACCTAACTAGCACCCTTCTTACTTTAGAAAAACATAGAGAATGTATTAGATAGCTTCGAAAATTGTACGTGAATGGAACAGTCATCTAGAAATTTTTAGCTGTCCTCCTCCAAACAGATATTTTACAGAAAACAGTCGTTGGGTGTCCCTGTTAAGCCCTAAGTGTGATCAGCATAAAATTTCTCCCTGTAATATCAATGCTTTATAAAACAGTTTGGTGACAAAAATTGAGGACATGATCACAACAGATATATTGAGTTGATAATTTAACAACTTCTCCCTGCTACTTCAGTAGAAAATGCATAGGGGCACCAAGGGAGAATTAAAACTTTGATATCAGGGGTTAAAATGGGGTTTTATAGCAAAGTTGTTTTTTTATGCTAATGGACAGGTTGCCCAGATTCAACAGCAGATGCAACAGATGCGGCTGAAACAACAGTTGGGACCACAACAGATGACCATGCAGAGTGGAGCAGGTCTGTTTGGCTCTGGCCAGCCAGCGATGGCAAATGGTTGGATGCCATCACAACAACCAATGTCATTTCCACAGCAACAGCATCCTCAGTTTGTCACTACTGGACCAGCGCCACCCAGCATGAACTATGGAGGTTTTCCAATGGCAACCATGCCAGGCTCAGGCCAAACCCTTAGCAATCAGTTGTGGAAGTGACAGAGATGTTTTTAATGTAAATAAGAATATTATGGATTCATTCTATAAATCTTGTACATTTTGGGTATCTCAAAATTATACAGATTACCTTAAACTCACTATTTGTGCTTTCTGGGGCAAAGACCATCTGATCAAGTTTTCACTGGTGAAAACTTTGCCTTCCTCCTGGGACCTTAGTTTTGTCAAGACTGCATATACATATGTACACAGTAGTAGTTGTTTTATTGTTTTAATGATTGACTCAAAGACCCAGGGGGGGTACTCAGGATTTCAAGTGACGGGGATGATCGAAGGATTTTTTGGGGTTTGAAATTTTCGATTCCGGGATTTTTTTGGTTACGAAAATTTGGCAAGTATTTTTTTGGGTAGCTTGATTTGAGTACGGATTTTTTGGGGTATTAAAAAGAATCAGTAGTGCCCTGGCTGCGCAGTTCTGCGAATAAAGTACAAACAAATGTGTTTTGCTGTTGTTTAATAGTTAACTATAGTGTCGCTTTACATCGCACGTGTTATATAATAGTCTGCATTGTCCCGTGGTGCCCGGCCGTGTACAAGACTTCAACGGCGTCAATTCAATTCAGTTGGTCGAGGGATTTTTGTGGGTTTTGCTGGAAGCCCTATGGATTTTTTTGGGTCTTGACTTTTGGCTCCATTCGATCATCCCTGTCACTTGAAATCCCGAGTACCCCACCTGGTCTCAAAGAATAGGTCAAGCTTGCTGGAAAGAGAATAGACTGTACAGTTGCTGGGGTGGATTTCAAATGTAATTTCTCACTGTAAAAATTTTTGGGAAGTTGAAATGGAAATTAAGGAAGTTAAACTAAGTTACTTCAGAAACTAAATCTGGCTAGTACTTGACATCTAGCTGCCTAGGACTGGAGGGACTAAACAGATCTCCAGAGTTACATTATTTTGTATTATTATGATCATTATCTTATTTTTAATAATTCATCTGTTGATTAGTCTTAATGAATTAGAAAATGCTCTGACAAATGATGTAACTGACATAACTTGTGTAACGTACCATGTAAATGTAAAAATGTGTCAGCAAAATTAACTTAAATCAAAAATATTTGTGTCAAATGCACCAGCAAATCCATCATACCTGAGGGACCAACTCTAGCTGTCTGTTTTGTACAGGTTTCTTATTGGGCCAGAGTTGATTGTAAACAGCAACTTGACATTTCTCCATAATTTAAGTTTGCGAGCAAATTCTCAGTGTGGAAAGTGGTAGAGTAAAAAACTATATAACCCATTTACACCCTTGGCCTCCCTCTTGTGATTCTCCAATGAAGAGCTTGTCTGGAGGAGAACCGTAATTGAAGTGATGCTTGTAAAATGGACAAAGTGGCTTAATACTGCCTAATATTAATTTTTTGCAAGAATCAAAGGGGGAATTTGACATTCAAATGCATATTTTCTTCCTCTGTGGGAGTGATATTGTCAACACTGCAAAAGAAACAAAATGTTAAGTTTTAGTGGAGGGACTTGTTATGAAAGCATGAAAACTTTGGAAAGGCATAACATTGTGAGGTTCCAGAAAATATAAGTCTTTAGACAGTATGGAATTTGCTGGTGTTATTCACAATAATAAAGCTGCAGTTGTAATTTGTATTTGGATAAAAATAATGTAGAGGATGTTCGTCTGTAATTACCTAGATGGTGTAGATAAATTGAGTAAATGTTCAATAATAGTTGGTTTGTAAGGAGTACAAAATAAAAAATCAACAAGATGAAAATCATTGGAGAAATAATCAGTTCCATGTGGTCCAACAGTAGCACAAGTGATTAAATGATAGGGGGACACTTGTGTAGTCCTTGTATGGTGTGTCTTCCTAGGCCTTCTGGGTTAATTCATTTTGGTGAGGTATCCAGGACTTGCTCGGACCATGTGACCCAAAATGCATAGGCCATGGAATAATCGGTTAGCATTAGATCCCCTCGGCCTAAACCCCCCTTGACACCTTATGAAGTTTAAACAACCTAGTATAGTGATTAGGGTTAAGCACCGAGAGTAGTGATTAGGGTTAAGCACTGACTCCAAATGGTTAGCTTTTATTTAGGGTTAGGGTTGTTGCTATATACCTTCAAATCAAACTAATGCTCGCCAGCAAATCCTCAGTGGCATAGTGGTATAAAGAATATGGACTGCAAACACTACACTCTGGGTTCGATTCTTACTCTTGCTCTTCTGAATTTCATTTTTCCTTAAAAATTGAAGAGACTTACACTTTCATAAACATTTCCCGAGCAGAAATGTCAAGAAACTTAGAAATTTTATCTAAGAGTAGTGAAGAAGCAATAAAGAATACTACATTGTGTAAAACTTCATAAGGTGCTCAAGGGGTTTAGGCCAATGGGGTCTAATGCTGTCGGGAATAATGAGGAACAGGGACTAGGCAAGGGGGGGAGCACCATCAAGTTGTCTGAATGAGTTGTCTAGTAGCTAATAAAACAATAGATAAGTTCATGACCCACCCAATGTCCCTATCCCTAAAAACAAGCAGTTGTGTTTTCAAAGGCCTGTAAAAAAATGATAAAAATAATATGATAAATAATGATAAAAAATGATCACGAAAGAGAGAATGCCAAGTGATGTTTTATTAAATTCTCTCAACTAATTCTTAAACGAAATGTATGGAGATCAGTTTGGAGAATTTGTATGTGGATACTGGGGCTTAAAGGGTTAATGTTGACCAAGGACACAGATGGGTTGAAACTGCAACAGCGATGAAGAGAAGCAGTAAAATATCCACAGTGACATAGCTCCCTCTTCAAAACAACATTAATTTTATTAATTTTGAGATTCAGACTTGGGACATACATACCCCCCGTCCCCCTCCCCCCCCAAAAAAAAGATGGTCAAGTCCTGTGACTCAATCCTAACATCTTCAGTTGCACTCCATCCTGCTCCTGCAAATTGAACACACTGGCTTTGGCCAGGCTATGTTTCCTTATGTTACAGCTTTGAGTAGTAAATATTACATCACTTATTACACACCAGTCTCAGACGGGCCTTTTAATTAGCAAAAGGCAGTAACTATGTACATTATCAGAAAACAAAATAGGATGAAAAATGAAAACATGAAGCTTATTATGTAACTAATACAAAGATACAACTAATTAGAAGGACTATGAAAGCAGTCAAACACTGCTACCGGTAATTTCTGGTCCCCAAAGTGAACAATAAAAGTTGTAAAATCTGATCTATCAGTGTAGAGCTTGATTTATTGGTGTTAGTCCTAGTGAAAGGAAGTAAAATTATAAGTTGTATTAAAATAGCAAAATGGTAAACTGTCCCTACAATACATATATTTGTTACACTTAAGACTTTTTAGTAGTTGCCAGATCAGATTCCTATTTCTGTACTCATCAATGCACAGCAAATAACCTGACTTTCCCATTTATCATGTGTATGCTGTGTTATTCACCAAGTTTGTAATTTCAAAACTTTTAGCAAATCACAATGAAATGTACCACCCCAGTACAAGCAGACACATTTAAGGAATTGGTAGGATTATCCAATTCAAAAATGCATTAATTAAAAATAAAACTGTCAGTTCAAGACTAGCAAAAATAAATAGTCAGATTTAAAAGAGATCTTTCACAACTCGATGACAGTAGGTCAAACTAGCCACCCCAACTGTTGGGCTATTGAAAAAGGATCTTCATTAACTATCGCACTTCCATAAATTCTCATGCCACAAACATCAGATGACGAACTTTTCACACCGCCTCGGTCAACCAGATGAGCCATAAATGGCATGGGTACATCACCAGTCTCCAGGTAGCTATTTTTGATTTCCTCCACCGGTGCACATTGCCGAAGTTGTCCATTGCGAAAGGGAGGAAAGTGAATGCACAAGTTGAAGCACTCAGAACCAAACTTGTGAATAAGAGCTTCAACTGCCTCATTGATTGCTAGTTTAAAATCATCGTCAAAGTTCCAAGAGATAACCTTGAATTCATAACCACAATATGGTGCCAAATGGGTAAACACACAAGCGCCACCAAAGGTTTTTGCTAGTCTCAAGTTTCTGTGGGCACTCACTAAGTCATCAAAGTAGTTAAATTCAGGATATTCTAGAGAATACATCTTGGCAGCTTGTTGTAGGCGCTCCCACTGACCGTAGTGAAAGTTTTCTGCCAGTAACATGTGGGAATGACCATGGTGTTGTGACGCACCTGCCCGTGCACGGCAATTCCAATTCAAGATTGGATAGATGGCCTGAGGGTGATTCTTATGTGTAATTTCAAACCACTCAGTACACAAGTCTAGCATATCATGAAGCTTCCCCTGAAAAGAAAAAACATTTTCACAAATCTATATAGCCAAATGAATTTCATCAAAAGAAAATTAAAACATACCCAACTTCAGACCAAAAGAGACAACACCATCCTCCGTGGCAATGGACATACCTCTACAGTGTATATAACTTAAAGTGAGTGGCTCCTTCCCACCCCAGCCTTGTCTGTGGACCAGGCCTAAGCATTTTTTAACACCTCCAAATGATTTTAAACCATAACCCTTACAATGGCACATATTTGTATTCATGATTTTAATTTACTGAATTCACCATGGTGACTCAACATGCTGAAAGGGGGTGAAACAGGACTTATGTCCCAACTGATATCAACCCCTTCATTACCCACCCAGCTCATGAGAGAGAGTTTATGGTAAACTCAAAGACCTGGCAGGGACCTTGCTTCAAATTAAAGGTGTGAAGCCCCAAAACAAAAAGACAAATGCAAAAACTTGACCTCGTGACCCATTAGAAATGTTTCGGGGATATCAAAATGCAAACAAAAGTTTCATAGAGTCATGACTGCTTGGGTGGCCTCTCGTCATGTGGCATATGGTAATGAGGCCTTCGCTACACGATGTCAGGCCCAGATGGTGTCAACTCAAGTTGTACCTTGTTCCAGTGACTTGGAGAATGTTCTTTGAACACAACCATACTGTGTAGGGCGTCATATTTGGCAACATTAGATGCTGTCAAACCACTTTCATTTTCCAAACGACCCCAAAGATCTGGAAAGATAAAATGTAAGGAAAATATGTTTAGAAAGAAAACATAAAAAGTTAGTTAAAATCAGTTAGTGTGCTAACAGGGCAGACAGCACCTAGATTTTGATTTAGACAACCGGCGACAAAATTAGTCGAGACACTTTGCCCTAAAGAGCCGCTCTGATGTTTTGCCTCCTTAAAAAGGGGAAAAGAAAGCTTTCAGGGGTGACCACCTCTCATAATCGACCACCTCCCATAAACAACTGCCAATCCAAAACACTAAAATTTTCCCAGTCAAAGCCTTACAGTGGTAACCTCTCGTAAAAGACCACCTCCTGTAAGCAACCGCGACCACTTTTTGGGCCTGACGGTTAGTGATTTTCCATTTTTTAACCTCTTGTAGGCGACCACTTGAAGCATTCTCTGATCTCTATGTTTGCTGTGTGCACTGTGTGCACTATGCTACTTAGAATATACGAAGAACTTTAGTGACAACATGGAACCACATATGTAGTAACTTAGACTTGCATGCCATAAATTATCTTCCATAAAGCAGATGTGCCTGGAACTCTTCTCGGAGAAGGCCCCCTGTGGTTCAATTCTTGTAAATGACCACCTCCCGTAAGCAACCACTCAGTCTTTGCATTTTGGGTGGTTGCTTACGGGAGGTTTGACTGTATACCAGAAGGGTCTCAAATGGCTTTTGCAGTGATTAGAAGCCTGTTTGGTTAATTTGGAGTTGCCCTAAAAACTATTTATCTGTTTGGATGTCTTAGGGGAACCTTGGTTGTCATGAAAGTCTTAAGTGGCTTTTTCATCTCATCCAAAAGTGTTAGCTATCCTTATGGGTCCAGTCAAAAGTTTGAGGACAAGTAGCCTTGCTTTCATTTGAAAATTACAGGAAACGTTTTGTCTTTATACCAAAAATTTTAGGATTCAGACTTTTTTTAACAATAATCGCAATATCTGGCTATTAAAATGTGAATAACATAACCTCCGAAAATCATAGTTAAGCTATTAGGAAACCTCCAAATATTTTAGATGAATGGAACGGTTATCTTAAAGTTTTTAGCTTTTCTCAAGCTCAAGAAATTTCTAAGCAATATTTGCTGCTTCGAAGGGTTATTTTACAGAAAAAAGTCACTAGCTGCCCCAGAGCTTTCCATCCCCACCCCTCCATTAAATGTTATACCGTTGTTTGGGCTACCAACACAGGGTCGTCAGAAAGTTTTGAAGTAAATGGCTGAGTTGTCAAAGTATGTGGCCAGCCCAGGGATATTTTATTTAAAAAACACCATCCACAAAGAAATGCCAATCAGAGTAGCCAGCCGATACTAACCAAGTGGGTGGCCATTTTCACCAGCAGCCAGCTACTTTTGACAACCCTGCCAACACCCAAATTTAAATGGCAGGAAGAGGGGAGGGGTGTTTTGTTCTCCAAAGATACCCAATTGATTGTAGGTGTGAAAGCAGTCAAGAAAATAACTCACCAGCAGCAGTGTAGTCCAATGGACTACAGAAGTCGCATCCAGGTACTGTAGTGCCCGGTGGAAATTCAACAGAATGAGGAGTCTTGGCTTCACCATTGTTGAGCGGTTTAAGGGCTCTGGCAGCATTAAAACAAGTTTGGTTGCACGTCCAGCGATCAAATACTCTCACTACATATAGAATATGCAAAATATTTAAACTAAGAAAGTCAATCAGAAATCAGTGGCTAGGCAGAATTTAATGGAGCCGAAACCAATGTGGAATTGCACGCATTTTAGGCATCCTACTGATGAACAGTTGCGACACGTAGATATATGTTTTTTAGCAACTAATATAATTTGCAGTCTGTCTACTTTTAATTTTCTTTGCAGCTTGAGGGAAAACTCTGTAAGGCCCGACACCGCATAAGTACAACGTTTGAATCACTGCCCTGCCAGAGTTATGTAGCATGGCAAACCTTGTTGAACTCAATTGCCTGTCAAACCAAATTAAAGACTTGATTCAGATGCTGAGGTTCTGCCGTGCATTTGTCCAACTTCACTCAAGGCCGACAAGAATTAAGTTTAGCATGGCAGAAGTGCAACATGAATTTGGCCTAAGTTTTTTAGTTTTGGTGTTCAGCCTGACTTTATAAAACCCTTCCACATTGCCACTTTTGGCCCAATCTCGCAAATGGTAGTCTACATCAGGAACCAAATTCTTTGACTTATTGCAGCTTCAATCCCCATTCCTGACCACCAGTAATTTGTTCCTTACCCTGATGATACTTCCAACAATCCCTCATGACTTGCACTGTATGTCTCATTCTTCTGCAAAATATCTCCATCCACCCAAACATTTTATTATGCATACCCTGTACAGGGTGTTTGGATGCGAGGGAGACTATGTACAGAGGGCGGTGTTGTTCAAAGCTGGGTTAATTAAGGTAACCCAGGGTTAGTGCCAAATTTGAATTCAGATATAAAAACTGACAAAGCAAATTCAGTTTAATTCTTTTCGTCTACAATTTGATGATTAGATACCCTAAAAAGAATAGAAAACTCTATCCGAGGAAATGCTCTTGATCAAAAGAAAAAGAAACCCACATTAAAATTCAACGCCGGGTTAGCGCCAATCACTCTAAATTCGAGATTGCTCCGAATCTCTTCATTTAAGAAGAAGTTTTCTTATTTTACGCGAAAAATTTAAAACTAATCATAGGATAAGACCTCTTTTTTCTGTAATTTAAACAGGCAGTTTGAATTTACGAGAACAAAATCTTATTCTATGGTTTGTTTTAAATTTTTTGCTTAAAATAGGAAATCTCGAATTTAGAGTATATCGGCCTTCGAACGTCTAGTGTTCATGAGAAACAGTATGATAGCGCTGCAGGTATAACTGAAATGTACGGTGTCAAAAAAAACTACTCTGCAACTTTAAATGCAAAATTAAATAAAAAGTAAAAAAAAGTAAATAGTACTGCGGTTTTCCTTTTTTTCAATCACAGCGGCAGATACTTGCAACCCCGTCCCAAACGCTGGAAACCATTTCGCACCCAAAGCGTGCACAATAGATGGAGAAATAATAGGAGAAAAAGTCCATAGACACTCAATATTACCAACCAATGGTTTGAAATTCTGCTCTCTTTATAGACTCTTCTTCGTTCACATCGCCGGGCAAATGAAACCATCGCGTGAGTTTCGCCTCGAACGATTTTGGAATCGTCATTTGACTTGACTTCATTGAAACTTTGAAAATTCGATTAAAAGCGCCCCAAACGTGGCTATTTGACGCAGCATCCACTTTATCGCCGCATTTCAACAACTCTCCTAATTCCAAAATAGATTTGACAGCTTTTCCAGCCATTTTACCCTGTTTTAGGTAGAGTCTCCCGGCGAAAATTCGTGCGTTTTGAGAAGTCCGCGAAAGTTTTCAAATCGGAAAAAGGCGCCTGCAATTTTTAAGATATTTTTTCAGCAGACTTGCAAACGGCGCATGCTTATCGTCAGCACAGAATCAAAGATGGCGTCAACAGAAGAAGTCTTGGTTTGGACCCCAGAACTTGAAGTCAGTTTATTTCATTCCATGAAGGGGCACAAGCCTGTTGGTAAGATATTCTACTAAATCTCTTGTTTTTACCCTTATTTCGATTTTTTCCGAGTTTTTTCTGTTTTGTTTTTCAGGTATAAATCGACATTTTCATATGGCGTGTATTCACGATAAATTCGCGACGTCAACAGGGAAAAGAAATATTTCTTCGAAGCAAATATGGGAGCATTTACAGGAACTGTACAATCTCCAAGCACTGGTAAGTGGTTGGGTCTGAAAACTGTTAAGAGGCCTTTTGTGTTTTGGTGGGTCACGGAAGAATTTCGGAAAGCTAACACAACATTCTATATTATTTATTTAAAAAATTTCCCATTTTCACTCAATCTATGCTTTTGGCATAAGAGAAGTAAAATTAAATGTCCTCTTTAATATAAAAGTGTTTCTGAACCGCTGTGATCATTACTTTTAAATTTATTTGGTCTGAAACATGTTTTGGGCGCTCCCTCGAACGGTCCCCTTCGATTGACGTCCCCGACAATGTTTTGTTTCATAACCGAGTGGGGCCTAGGAACTACAAACTATTGCTGAAATACTGGAATTGGATCGCTGGAACTCTTGAAACGGAACACTAGGAAAACTTTCTTTTTTACCTCTTTTATTCGTTCCTTCTTTGTTTGTTTGCTATGGTTAAGTATGTTATCCAAAAATTTTATTTTATTTCGATAGATTCCCTTCTATTTATAAATTCTTTTTTTGCAACACTTATTACTTATCAATAATTATTCCGTCTTTGTCAATTTCCTTCTTTCATCCATCTGAAATTTCTCTATTATTATTAGTAGTAGAAGTAGTAGTACTAAAGGGAAAAGGCATTTTTAAGACCATAAAACATTTATCTGATATATATTAACTTGTTTGCTTTATAGGTTAACCCCCTGTTCAGCTTCTATCATATCCCAGTGTATTTTATTCACCTACTTTTTTGTCTTTTGATTTTTGCCTTTCAATCAAATGTAATTATTATTGAATAAAATGATATTTTATTTTTATGCTAGTTTGATCAAATTTATGGAATTAGTGCATTGTAAAATACTTCTTATTATAGATTTAGGGCAAAAATAGTGACGTATAATTCAGAATTTATAGTGACAGTTATTTGGTTTTTATTATTCACTAGGATGATCTTGAGAGCCTGCCTTTTCCAAACGATGAAACAGAATTCAATTTACCAGATGACATTTTTGAATCAAGTTCCAAGCCTCATTCCTCTGCTTCAGAGTCATCTGCTGCAGCTGATGAAGGTATGGATCATCAGGGCTTGAAAAAGTCCCGTCCAGTAGTCCTGTAAAAGTAAATTTTCTTGCTGGGCAAATGACTTTTAAACCATACTTGCCCAATTTGCAACTTGGGTTCAGGCAAGTCATTCTCTAACAAAATTATTAACCAAGACTAGTATGTTCCAATGGAAAGTGAATTGCCGCAAGTAAAGCATGACATTTCAAATAGTTTGAATCAGTTGCAATTTATTTCGATTTTTGATATTTGCCATTAACAGTGTCAAATAACTGTGCATGTAACTCAACATGACATGTAGGTGTGTCAAGCTAAATTATTGTATAAAAGTCGGTGAGAACAAGTCAGCATATTATTTGTCTGAAATCTGTCCAGCATAAGGCTTAGAGCATGCGAGTGATGGAGTGAATGAATGAGTGAATTTCCAAGCAAGTGCAATATTAAACATAAAACTGGTTCATTATGCTTTTCGTGAGTGTATCAAATCATTTTCAATCTCTGCTTCTGTCATATATAAAACATTTTACTTCCAAGGGGAGAACAAACCTTGTCACACATTCCAGAAAAGATCTTAATAACTAAAGCAATTTATTAATTGAGCTTAAATGAATACAGCAAAGCCTCGCTGGATACAAATTTGGCCAAAACACCGAATTTATTTACCATAGAGTTCCAGGAATTGCTTAGAATATTCTGAGAAACTTACCGCTTCAATTCATGACAATTTTTTCCCTTCACTTGCATTCATATTCTTCGCTTGCGAAAATGTGGATTTCTACACAAAACAGGATTTCTCTGCCTCTAGTTGTCCACAGGCCTCTTTATCGACAGCCAAGTGTTCTAGAGGATACAGTATTTACTTCTCCCTTTGGAAAGTAATTCTGAATTGATTGGCTGCAACCAAAAGGGCCTTTATTCAACGGCCATGAAATTGAGGCAAAAAAAGGTGATATATCAACATATTTCTATCCGAAAATTTCAGATGAGGGTGGCTTTGGGCACAGGTAACCCAGGCTGGTCACGTTCCTGACCTAAATTAGTCTGCTGGGAAGCCTGGTGGCTTCACAGCAATGAGCAAGAAGTGGTCCCGGCAAGCAAAATGTGAGAGCTGCTGGCTGCTTGTGCAAAGGACAAGTTAGAATTCAAGCTTTCTTCAAGCCCTAAATTCATTAATGTTTGAAGTTTTTGAACATGTAGATGTGAACGTTATTTTGAACAATTTCATAGAGATTCTTGAAAAACTATAAATTCACGGTGAAACCCGTTTCTTGATCCCTTATTTTCTTGAAGGCCCTGATAATTCGAACCAAAATTTGCCCTCCTTCCACAGCTTAAAACAGAAATTTTACCTCTCATTTTTCATACTTCTACCCTGTGAGCAGAAACTTCCTTTTCATGATATTTTCTGGATTGCAAAAAAAGTATCTTCTTCCAACAACTATTCCATTTTCCATCATTCAAGTGCAAGTTTCATAATCTGATTCATGAGCATAAATAAATGGCAACTATGTTTGCTTCTAGCACTAATTCCTCAATCTAGTTTTCATCATTTACAACTGTCAAAGCAGGCAGGGTTTCAGCTGTTTGAAACACAAATTACTGGATGGGAATTATCACAAAAAGGTTCTTATTCCACTATGGGTGGCAAATAACTTGATATAGAGCCATAACCTTTTTTTTGGCATAATTCCCTGATCAATATTTTTTGGGCACATGAGTTTTGGAGGAAGTTTTTTTTCAATGCCAGCAAAATTGAATGGAGCAATACTGCCATTTTATAGCATACTTTTTGCCTACTATTTTTTTATCTTTGCATGCCATTGACATTTTTTTTCCCACACCTGATGATATTACCCATTTACATGTAAATAGCCCCTCTTTAGCAATACTTTTGCTTTTTTTAAGTTTTCACATAATAAAAGTTGATTTATTTTCTAGATTTCACTAATGGAACTAACTTGTTATCTTGATTACAGCTCTTCTTAAAATTAAACTTCAAGGACTAGCCAGCAACTCTCCTGCAAGCACCTCCACCCCAGACTCATCTCCAAAGAGGAAGAGAACACGGCTAGTAAACAGCTCTTCACAGCCTTCCTCACCACACCCTCCGTCATCAGCCAAGAGAAGACGGTAGCATAACAGTGAATTTTAGAGTTCAAATGGATTGGTTTTTATTCTGCCATTTTAAAAATATTCATTGGCATATACAAGATGTCCATGACATCAGAAGGTGGTGGTCACCCTTGTTAAATTATTATTAATACAAAAGAGGTATAGTGCAGGCATTGTTATTAATCCCATAAGTCATTTATTTCCTTAAGTTAATCTTATATGACTGAATTATGTGTATCCCCTGTTTTGTAGGGTTGTCTCAATCAAATAAAATAGTGAAATGGTGTTTGAAAATAAGGCCCTTAGTGGCCTCTGATGTAATATGAAATTCTCCTTTTCATTAACAAGCTTATGCAAGGCAAAGTGAAAGGAGAAACTTGCAGTTTATCAGAGGTCATATGGCTTTATTGCAGGCACCCATTCTAAAAGTCAATATAAAGTTCAGCTTGACTTTACTTCATTTTTGATGTTTATTGTTGGTAATAAGTATTTCTACTGCAATTACCACATAGGATAATTATTATTTTACAGATTTTTTAATTTGGCCACTTAGGGAGTCTTGGTTAAGTGTAATATTAAACTCAAATTGTGCCAGAAACAGAAAATTGCTGAATTTTTAATCATTTCCTCAGCAATCAAAACAGACCCATGTGTAAAGATTAACAGAACTTGAAAATTATTAAGGCTCCAGTCTTTCATTCAGTTCCCTCCATCTTGTATTTATCTCAAAGTGAAAAAGCAGTCATAAACAATAACCAACATCAAGAAACTACAATAGTGTAATTTCTTGGCCCCTATACTGACAAAAGTGATTGTATATAATATCCCTTGTTCTTATTATTAGATTATTAGATGCTGAACCAAAGATTCATATATTCAGCTTGTTTGTTAGGTAGCAACCTCAAACTTGATGAATTTAGCCCTGAAAGAAAACGGGAGTGTTATGAGTTTGTTCATGAATAGCAGGCCTCGTGTGACTCGTGTCTGAGGCTGTTCTGGGCTCAGAGCCATATTTTAAGAAAACAAATCTTCGCACTAGTAGTGTGGATCCTATTTCACAAACCATTTCATTTTGTTTCTTTCATTAATGGTTTTATTGTGATTGCTCTCAGAACTATTGAAATGTGGATCTTGAAAGTAAACATAGCTTTCTGGGACATCTAATTACTGGTACGTTTGAGGAACGGGCCCCTAAACTGAAGTGACATAAATTATGGGTCTTATTTCATTTGTTTTCCCAAGTGGTGCAGATACCAAGAATCTATACACCCATATCATTCTGTAAATAATCCATATGGTTCCGGTAAGAGGTTTATTAAAGTTGTTGTAGCATTAAAAATGATCGCTTGTTTGTTCTGAACTCCATTGCTAGTGTCATCTCTCTCTTATTGGGCAACTTTATAAGACGGATACCTCTCTAAGACAGACACCCAGGTTTGGGTCCCTGCCGAACTATGCTCTCTATAAGACGGACAGCTCTCACTCATAGACGGACAAAGTTCACTTTTGAAACCTCCGATGGACACTTGAGAAGTGCTATGTAGTGCAAAATACCTCAAAACGGAAATGTAGTTGCTCTACATGGCAGTAAATTGCAATTAGGGGAAGCAAATTACATAACCATTTACTGTACGCGTCTCCTACAGCTCTTATCTTGCACCATTATCGTAATTTCTTAACACCATTTGTGGAGAGAAACAAAAACACTGTCCTGTCAACCTGTAAAACAATTATCTTCTCGTTCTTTTAGCTGAACCCCTTTAGCATAGAGAACTTTAAATAGTCCCACCAACCATTAAATATACCGATTAAATGTCCCAGTTTTTACTGTTTTATACTACAGGGTTCGTACAGGGTATGGAAAACCTGGAAAGTCATGGAATTTAATTGTCGATCCTTGAAAGTCATGGAAAATGAAAGTTTTGTTTGATAGATTAGTCACGGCAGATGACAAAGCAATAACAATGTAAGATAAACGCGCAAACGGCACGTATTTTTGGTGGACGCCAGAGTTTGTGTCTGTTGAACTGTTTAAGGTCAAAAAATATGCTACAACAAGGAAAGTTTTGAGAATTTTCGAAACTGACAACCGAACCTAAGGTCTTGAAAAACGTGAAAAGGTCATGGAAAGTCATGGAATTTGAAGACCTCAAAAGAGTACCAACCCTGTACTAATAAAACAGAATGTGTATATTCACTGCGAATAGGTTTTGCTTTATTTTTGCGTTCGAGGTACTAGAACGCAACCCCTAATTTGTGTTGGGTGTTCTGTGTATTATTAGGTTCCCTGTGCAATTAATAAGGGAGGTTTTTCATATGGAAACCGGGCTTAATCTATCGCAATAACCATCCACCCTTCCTCCTCAGCTGCTACCTGTACGCCTTACAAACATCTCGAACGCACTCTTCTAAGCGCCGATTACTCCTAGTCTTATAATTAATGGTGTCACGTTACCTCGACCCTCTATAACTGAGACACCTCTCTAAGACGGACAGTCATGGCCGGTCCCGAAGTTGTCCGGCTTAGTGAGTGTTGACTGTACACGCTTTACATCTGTACCTGCAGAAAATCAGCAAAATTGTTTTTTGTAGATTTTGTTGCAAGAATCCAAAAAAAGTTATTTAACTCCCCTCAAGAACCTCACTGACGACATCTAATTGCCTATTTGTGAGTTGTCTGTACAGCTACTTAGCGATCTTTTATACAGTAAGATTAAGAAGAGGATACTCTTTGGCACTCCATGACCCAAAAAAATGTTTATGTGGGATCCAAATCTCGACTGGATGTTATTTTCTTTCGGCCTTTATGAGCCTTCTTGCCAGTGTCGCCGCTTCGATACGTTTTCACCATTCTGCGACCTTTTTGTTCCCCGCTTCATCTTCCAGTGCATTCATCCCGTCATGCGAAGCTTCTTGCTATCTTTTGAATGTAGCCTGTGTGCTCATCGCTGTGGTCACAGGTGTAGTGCTATTATAATTGTTTTTGTCTTCGATATCGACCCTCAAACCAATTTTCCACCGACGTCAGTTTTGTGGCCATCCAGTGAATGTTACACTTAACTGTTTCAAGTATTTTCTTGTTAGATTGCAGCGAAAACATGGAGTGATGTCTTTGAATGAAATCCTTCACCTGCAGATAATTTTAATTTTTTTAATGTCAACAATGAAGCCTCTCAGATTTCGTGGGTTTTGGGGATAAATAAATAAGAAGAATATCAAATTTACGTTGCAGATATTCTGTCGAGTACCACTGTAATATCTGTTTTCAAAACCTTACCTCTTTCAAGAGTTTTGCTGTATTGAGATTCTCTGTCACTCTTTCCAACAAAAACATTACAGCTCTTGAGTCTTTACCAAGCGTGAAGAATAAAGAGTTAATTCTGAATCGAGAGAAACAAGAATACTAAACTACTTACATGTAACTTACCCCTTTCCCTTCTAATAATCGCCAATGAAAGTGAAAATTTCAAAAGAATTTCAAGCTTCCCTTTTGTAAAAATGCTAAGAAATAACTAGTACCGTAACGGGGTGTCCGTATTAAGTGGGTCATGTTATTAAAGTCAATAATATACTTTTTATTTGATCAAAATACTACAGAAATAAAACAGGACACTGGCATCGTCAAACTAACCATCAAACACTCGAAAGTCTCGACAAAGTCGCTCATTGTAAATTACGTAATCAAAACCCGCTGTCTACGCCGGTAACTCGATTGATGTCACAATAGTCTAAAATTGCCGTCCACCATTCATCCTAGGCGAGACTTGAACCTGTAGGCGGTCATCATAACTTGCAAAGCGGCGAGAAGGAGAAAAAGAGACGAGGCTATCTATTTTTCTTGTTCACCTTACCGTTTAGTAATTTTTTCGTGGTTCCTTTTAAAAAATTTCCACGCCAAAAGGCGACCTTTGGCGTTGCTTGCTACAGTTCCAATGATTTGAATCATGTCTTGTGTACGTACTATTCGGCCATCTAAAGCGTGCTTCAGCAACCTAAAAATTAACATTGAATTAAACACTTTGCCTATGCAGAAGGTTTTTGTATGGGGTCGCTGAACGGTCGCCACCTTTATAGGTGTCTGTGTTGCTGTGATTTTTTTCTTCGCTGACTCAAAACCCGACTACGCACGTTTACCTCTAACGATCTAAGGGAGGTAACATTCGATTCAATATCGTTCCCAGAGGCTGCGAGCTTTTGATCGCGGCACCAAGGATCACTGGCTCGTTCGCCTGGACAAGGGTAACGAAGTCAGTGGAGGCGAAATTCCATTCGATTCAGTTTGACTGAAAACCTTGTCACCAGAGCCCTCTCCGCTAAGAATAAACTTGCAGACGCTATGATGCGACAACTAAGTACGCTATAGATTAAAATAGCACAGTTTTAAAAAAAAGGCACTGTTATATGAACAAAACCCAAAGTTGTATTTTTAAATTTGAAAACCAGTGTCCTCCTGATAACCGTCAATCTTGTATCATTTTGGGTCGATCGAAATAGGTGAAGAACTCGTGAGATCGTCTCAGTCGTGCGACAGGTAAAAAGAAAGAAACGCGAAAGACAGCATACCGCCACCGCTCATCTAACAACTATCTGTCATCTGTTGGTCAAAAGGAGGGCCTGAATCTTATTTTAAAAGAATCTTAAATTTTATTCTTCTTTATATTAGAGCACTCTAAATCTCATATTTGAACATTCTCAAGAATTTCCTTGCATGCTAATACACAACCTTTCTATCGAAAGTTTAAGGTCATTTTAGGTCTATTTTTGTGGCGAAAATTCTAGCAGGAATGCGGTTTCGGCATTCCAAGGCGCGCTTCAAACAATTTCCGGAATATCTAGGAATTCTGTTCAGAAAAAGGCCGAAAATCTTAGTTTACTCAATAGTTAACGTGGTCGAAATGGAAAGTCGAATATTCGAAAATTCTAGCCGACCTTCATTCCGAACAGATAATTCACGGAAAATACCTGTTGGATGCCCCTGATAACAAGAAACGAAAATAGTTTTTCTACCAGATTTAAACGCCATACCTGTATAAAAGTTGTTTGCTTTTAGCTGACCCAAGGGCGGTGATAATTTTTTCCCTCTGCGCGGCATTCTTACATTGCTTGTATTTTCTCCAGAAGAATTCCCACTCTTTTTCTCCTCCATACTTTACAGCAACGATGTACATTGTCTTTCGAAGGTGCGATGGGACTGACTGAGTTCTGAAAGCATAAAAAACTTTAGGGTAAAAACTGTACATACTATGGAAATAAGAAAAGGAGCAGTGTCATTTACGGCAGAATGGCAAATTTAGGGTCCGAGTTATGATGAGATTCCTTTTTGTTGGTCAAAAAAGAAATAAAGAAAAACAGTGTACTAATTAATTTTTTATTTCTAAGAAAAACCAGTTACAATTAATTTGGCGGCATATTTTCGATAACAAAAGAGTTTAACTTGAAAAGGTTGACCCGATTTTTCTAACATTATTGGACACTATATTTTCATTTTGGCTATCGAAGTAAGACACGTACTTTAAATTTTGCGGAGTTTGAGTAATTTTAAACAAACCTGTACGCCCAGTTGGGGTACTCCGGATTCCAAGTGACGGGGATGATCGAAGTATTTTTTTGGGTAGGAAAATTTGGCAAGTATTTTTTTGGGTGGCTTGATTTAAGAAGGGATCTTTTGGGGGTACTCAAAACAGCCTGAAGATTCGTGGTACTGCCCTCGTATACGAGACGTAAACACAAACATTCAATTTCCAATTTATTTTTCGTTTTCGTGCTATATGATTTAATGCTTTCTGGAAATCTTTACGGCTCGGAAATTCGGCATGGCATTTTTTTGGGGTTAATTTTTGGTCCAGAAATGGGTTGGTTTTGTTGGAAGCACTAGGGCTTTTCTGGGGGTTTTGATTTTCACGCCCATTCGATCATCCCCGTCACTTGAAATCCGGAGTACTCCCCTGGGCCATGGCCATCATTTTGATCGGGGGTCGCATTGATTACGGCAATAAAGCAAAGATATTGCACAAAAAAGATTTTAAAATGTTCACAAAGTGACTTGCTTGATCATACATACCCATTAGTCTTCATCCAATCACTGAATAACAGCTTTAATTTGTTCACAGTGTCCTCATCGTTGTGAAAACAGAGTGTAGAAACCATTAGCTCACGAAAAACCCTGAAAAAAAAAAAGAAACAAAACGTATTTTTGTATCCAAATGATAGGCGGAACGGTAGCCCTTCTAGCGGATATCTATTACAACACCTTACAATTATCTGACGCCTTTCGTACCAGGATAAAAATAGGACGTCGATCTTTGAACACGTATGGTAGCCTGACAAAACAGCCGACATTCAGTCTAAGGAACAAGAGCAGAAAATCCATGCTGATGGTGCATCACCGCTCAGATCTGGGCATTGCCTCTGATTGGACAAAACAAATTTCCCACGCTGGACGGACCAATCAGGAGCCCTACTCAGATCTGGGTAGTGATACGTCATCAGTATACAATTGCTGCGCTTGTTCCCCAGACGCCACTAGTGGTGTCTCCTTTTATCTTAGGCTGACATTATGTTAGCAGTCAAGGTGAACAATTATTGGTCATTGATATTACCAGGAAAAAATAACAAATCTTCTGGCCCAAGAAGGAAATAATTTTAGGCCTGAGTTTTCATACTGACCTGTCAACCAGTTCATCTGAATCTTCCCAACCTAAAGAATCTTTAAGTGGCCCCAATTTTTCCACTATGAATTGCTTGTTGGGCCGAAAAAGTAATGTAATCGAAAAAAAACAATTAGTATTGCAAAAAAAAAAAGGATGGGTGTGGGTTATTCTGGCTACTGGGAACATCCAATGTAATTTTGATAGTTGAGAAAAACTATTACGAGAACAGCTTTTACCAGTCAAAGTTATTAAAATTCCTGTGTCGTCTTCCAGTTTCCCATTTTTATCAATATTTGAGGTGAACCGGGTAATTTTAGGAACTTTTGGACAATTCTCACGCCTGTAATCATCGGAATACTTTTTGTCGACCTCTAAAATTTTTGGATGTTGACGAATCCGGAATCTGTATCAATTTTATTTAGTCTAGATGTTAATCATCACTATACGAAAATTAAATCTGATTGGCTCTCAGCAGCACTGATTTTAGCATTTCTAGGACAGTGTATAGGTAATAGGACAATATGCATAATGCCTAAGTAAATGGACAGCACGAGCCATCAAAAGAGCACACTTGCATGGATTTTTGTTTTCACCTCTAGCAAAAAACCTCTTAGAAGATCTTGTGTTTTAATATTTCAAAAAGCTTAAATTATCACAATTTTTGTTAAAGTTATGATTGTTTGGTAACAGAACTTCCTGCCGTCCAATTTGGTTCGTAATCATACTCGTGATTCAACAAATCGGATTCCCCCTACACGGTCTTTCGATTGTAATATGTACATATGTATATCCTGTGAACAGGCCACAGGGAAATCGTGGTGAGGAAGGACTCTCTTTCCCTCTCCTTCCGTCTGCTCGCCCTGTCTAGTTTTCTCATCTGGTCCATACCCCCTAATTAATTAAATTCGCAAGCTACCCATGTCACGAAATATCTTCTGCCAACAGCGCAGAAACTAACCTCCCTGGTAGAATAACACGTGGCAGAAAAAAAGGCAGTTGATCGTTAACATTAGTGTTAATTTTACTTACTTGATAAAACTTGTAGGATCTTCTCAATGTGAGCATCGCGTCAATGTAAGACAACGAACGCAGCATGACGGCCCATGGGACGTAGTTTCGCTCATTTCTTATGTATTCTGTCATGTGCAAGGCAATGGGGTAATCAAGGACACCCGCCCTGAAAAAAAGAGTAAAGGGAATAAACAAATGGATTACGAGAAAATGCGCTTAAGCACTGCGTTACATTGAACCCAAATAATTTCAAGTTAACAGCCTAAAAATGAAGATGACCTTGCCTTAGCAGGGCTCAGAGTTTGTCTCATGATAATCACTCTGGTAGGATTATTGATCTTCATCAGTTGAGAGCTGGTGTCGATTTGCTGTTGCGGGACTATAAGTTTCATCATAGCTACTAGTGTTGGGGTCATTGATTGGCAAAATGATATAACAAGGCCGAGTTGTTGGAAAGATCATTAGTGCAAATTCAGGGTTATGCATTTGATGATTATGTGATGCTACACTAAATGTTTAGCATAAAACAACAATAAAATTACTATAAATGGGGTTACCTTGCTAAATTCAAAGCATCATCTATAAGACCACTTCTGTCTAATTCACTCAACGCCTGTAATGCGTAAAAAAGCCTTTTTCAGTAAATTGTATTATTTCTGTGAAAGGTTTGAACCCAGGAGTCATTTCAAAGGTAGGTTGAGTTTGATCGTCCGGGTGAATGTAGTCCTGAATAGGACTGTTGTTGTTTACAGTGACTGACGTTTCGACAACCTATGCGGTAGTCATCTTCAGAGTCAAAGTGAGTTGTATCACGTCAGTTGATGGTATTATACTCTAGTTACTGATCTGATTGGTCAATTACGTCGCGATGTTATTGGTCGTCTGTCAATAGGCTAACAATAGACGACTGTTTAACTGTGACAATGGACGGATCGAAACGCACCAATTACTAATTACGAGTCTTCATAGCCAATAACATCACGGCTTAACTGACAGACGACCAATAATATGGCAAAGTAATTAAGCAATCGGATCAATAACAAGAGTATAATACCATCAACTGACGTGATACAACTCACTTTGACTCTTAAGATGACTGCCGCACAAGTTGTCGAAACTTCAGTCACTGTCAACAACAACAGTCCTATTCAGGACTACATTCACCCGGACGATCAAACTCAGCCTACTTTTGTATTATTCCTGTAAGTGTCACGTTTTTTGGGGAGCTGGGAGAGATCGCGTTTGTTTAGACGTCTCGTAAAAACTTACCGTGTGATTATGAATTAATTGCTGACTCAGTCGTTTCCAGTTTTCCTCATCATAATTGACTCGAAAGAAAGCAGTTTGTCCAACGTTGGCCTTAATCCACCCAGATGGGTTGCTGGAAAGCTCGAAGGTAACTGTGGATAAAAAGTACGTGTTATATGACAAGTATTTGTTTTCAAGTCATACCAGGGCATACAATATCCTGCCTTATTGTTATAGACAATATATTAACCGATTGTTTTAGATAAAACTGCTACAAAAATATTTTAACTTATGGCCATGGCTAGCTGCCCATATAATTGTTACTGTTTAGACCAGAAGTTATTAATCATTTCTTAGTTTCCTACCTGATGAAGTCTTGTTCATCCAGACAGTTTTGGGACAGCCGACTGAGCCCTCAGTAATGTATGTAAGCGGAATATACCATCCCCGTCTAGTCAAAAAGGACCAGAGAATGTAAAATTTATCGCCTTAAGTTTATTCATCTCCATATGCTTAAATTAACTTAGTTAAGTGGGAAATTAGGGGTACTTAAATTTACTCAAATTTGGGTGTTTGTCAAGAAAAGCCTTGGAGTTGAAGGAAGGCCTCAGGCAATTAAAATTACCATTGATGTAGAAACGTTTATTATAACTATCGCTTACTCCTTTGATTGGTCGTTTTCCAGCTTTGACGAAGTAAAATCTCTGAGGAACCTCTTCTGATTTGCAATGAACGACAGTTTGCCATCTTTTTTCTGGACTTTGTTTCTCGAAATTGATATTAGAGGAAATCCGTCTTGGTTTATCCAAGACTCCATCACTGTTTCAACGTCTACCATATTTCCTGAAGCCTGCCGGCGAATGAATTGAGAGACAGTGAGAATAAACTGCTTAATCTGCGCAATTCATAACCTCTATGGCACTACTGTTTAATGCGTTCCCATCTTAAAGACTTAATACTATTATTCTAAAAGAAATATTCATATCTCTAAGACCAGTGGTAGAGTAGAAAAATACTCCATATTACAAACCTTAGCTTACACGAAATAGCATTAACACTCATAAGACGTTGTTGTTATTGTTTTTGCAGAAAAAGCAAGTTGGGAATTGTCGCTACACTCACCTCACTCATTGCTTTCCACAGGTCTGAGACCTTTGCATTAGCAAACTGATGTTTTCGTAAGTAAATCTGTATCAAATGAATGAAACAAAGACGTTGTTTGCCATTTGATCAGAAAGTCTGAAGGGAAAAAAATTCTAATTGCATAAAAAACCTTCTGCGAAACCTACCTCGATCCCCTTTCTAAGGGTTTCATCTCCAAGAAAGCTTTGCATCATTCTTATTAGCGCAGAGCTCTATGCAAACAAACAAATGTCAGGAAGTATTAAATCATTAAATGCTGATACTTTCATTTCTTGCTTCCATAATAAATGACAATAGATTATGATGACATAGACAAGAACGACTCGGATTGCTTTCCATCAGCATGCTGCAGTGCCGGATCCAGACCCTTAGATAAGGGAGAGCCCAGTCTCCAAAAAATTGTTTCGGTCCTTCAGGCCTCAGTTTTGTCTAAAAATAAGGGGGGGCGCCCCCCCAGCCCCACCCCTTTATCCTCCTCTGTGCTGTACCCTTCCCGAACATTTATTATTAGATACCGAATCCAAAGCAGCCTCCTTTGAACTGGTTGCTTACAGCTCTAGTATATACATAAAGGCTGCACATAAAGATATTTTTCGAATACGTCTTTATTAGTGGAGATAATGATACAGCATCAATAATTAACAGGCACCGAAATCAAAGTTTGCTTGGTCAATATACATTGCAGTGGTTTCATGCCATGGCGATTTTAGTTCAGAACGTTAATCCATAAAATGCATCCTTTAGTCTCGATCTGCACTTAAATGTTAAAAACCTCGTCTTACCTTATGGTAGGTTATCTTGTCCACAATTTCGTTTATTTGTGCTGGATTTTGAACTTCCACTGACACCGGGTGGGTGTAAAGTGAACTGTCAAAATCAAGAGCTTCTCTCAAGCTGTCCAACATAAACTCATCCGCCTAAAAAGAAATAATAAGGTACCACATGTACAATACATGAACTAGAGCCGTTGTAAATGAGCTGATTTCTTTTACGCTCCTGGTGTTATGCCTCATAATACATTTTTTAGCATGCCTGGCCGTGTTCTAACTTCTGTCCTCAAGAACTCGTCAACTCTAAACTTCAACGCTTTGACCGACTGGAAGTGATCTGAATAGCCAAACCTTCCATGATGGACCTATTTGCATACAAGGGGTTTCTAGAAACCGGCGTGAAGCAAAGAAACCGTGTGTTGCATTTTGCGTATGTGGAACGCTTTTTGACATCGGAACTCCGGACGGTACAATTGCAAACTAAGTACATAAGGTAAAGCAGAGTACCTTTCACAAAAGTGATCGATGTTAGTTGAGAAAATGCTGTTTGGATCTTATTTCGATGGGTGTCTATAAGGGAAGTCGTATTTCAATTGACTGGATGGTCGTAGTCGTTTTCAGATTTGAGAGAAAATGGAACATCAGAGGGACTTTTCAAGAAAAAGCTTATTGTTGTTATTTTGTGCTCTTTGTTACGTCAGTTTGAAATCTTGTGCGTGGGAGAGCCACCTGTTGCCCTCCTAATCCCGTCTCCTCATGCAGCTCTCTACATTAATTAAACTCAACATGGCCACTCCATTGAGTGACAGCATTGATTTTCATGGACGTTTCTACTTTAACAATAGTCTGATATATCTTAAACTTAAGATTTAGAGAATGAGTGAGTACTTGCTCTCACCCGTTTCCATTTATAGTTTAAGTCGTCAGTAGCAAGATATTCCAGGTAAACGGCAAATCCTTCATTCAACCAGAGATCATTCCACCAGCTCATGGTCACTAAGTTACCAAACCACTGCAAAGAAAAAAAATGTTAAATAAAAAGACTGATGGAAAAATATATCAATGAACCGGAGTCAGTAAAACATAAGGAAAATCCAACAAAATCACACACGAAGATGCAGGATAGAGCATATCTTCTCCAATAACTTATAGTGCGGGTGGGACAGTGTGTCGTTAAGACAGCAGTCATACGGGCATTTCTTCTTCAGATAGAATAGGTTTAACCGCTTTAATGTATTAATTAACAAAGATGGAAAGAATGTTTGGCTCTTCAAGGATTTTTTCTTTGAACCTGGAATACAGTTGATAAATTCTACCTGGTGCGCAACTTCATGATTCACAATCATTGCCACCAACTTCTGGTCAGCAGCGCTTCCTGTTATCGGGTCAAAAAGCATAGCGGACTCACGAAATGTTATAATGCCCCAGTTTTCCATAGCGCCGCCCATGTCAGGAATTGCAATCAGATCTGGAATATAGTTTCGAACAACAATTTTTTTAATTAACTGGACAAACAGCAGCTTTACAATGGTCCAACCGGAGGCCTTGCCTAAAATTGCTCCTTTACTGATGTTGAATTTATTTACTAAGAAACTATGAAAGTAAAGAAAAATACAACAGTCAAAAAGGGCAAGACTATCGCAGCTTTTCGAATGGTTTAGGATCTTGCAACTTTCATGCCACCTAAATGTGTTTCCATTCGCATCTGCTGTATCTGCCAATCATGATAATCAGCTCTCGAGAAACCTTCTAAGAACTTAGAACGCCTGCACCTTTGCTTGTGGTGCAGGATGGTCAGCTGCTTGTAGCTGTCTGCAATAAAAACTGTTCGAAACTAGCGAGGTTCCGTCTATAGAATTTAGATGAAACAAGCTTCTCGTTTTTTGGGGGTTCAGCCCATGCATTGGCCATGGTTGCAGCATGTGTCCAATAACCAAAGGAACTATTTTCTACTTCGTTCTAAGCATTACATTGTCTGGATGGGCAACGGCATCTTGATAATATGGCGCTGCACGGCGGAAGAAATTTAGAAAATAATCTGCCACATTTCAAGCTATTTTTGTTATTCGTGTAGTTATTATTAAACATGTTTTCCTTAATACCCCACATGGTCGTCCGTTAATCTACAATGGGCCAATTTAACGACCCCATCAGTTTCTTGTTAGACCGATTAAATAAGTTATGGTGCAGATTGATGAAAAAAATAAATTTTAAAGTAGTTGAACTGGAAACGATACTGCTGTAAAAAAGGCATGTTGGCGGGATTAAGAACCTGTCTTCTGTGACTAAGAAGCAAAGAGTGACGTAATGCGCCTGTGAAAGTCCTGTCCTTACCCATTTTTCGCAGTGGATACGAAATGTTAAAAAATTCCTCATAATACTCCAAAGCGTGTTTGGCAGCATTGAGAGCAAAATCTGTACTGTTGATAGCGTCAGGTTTGGACCACACTTTTATCTGTCGACAAAGAGAGAAAATTTTTGCTGGAGATGAAGAGGCAGTACGTAGTGTGGCCGAGCGGTAAGAGCACTGGACTTGTAATTCGGAGGCCCGAGCTCAAGTTCTTTATCGCTTGCTGGATTTGTTTTCCGTAGTCCCGAGTTCAAATCCTTGACCCCACTTGCAAGTACTGGTTTGTCCCTTACGTTGTTAAAAGTTCCTTTTGAAACGCCCCATAAGAGTAGAGGATAATTAAGTTAGGTATTAACAGGAGCCCAGTATTTATTTATTTATTTATCATTATTATTGTTAGTATTATTAAATTGAAGAAGTGAATTTTGTATAATTTTTTGAACATCATTTTCAGATAACAACTGTAAATCTGTTTAACAATGAAAAAATCAATAAAATCCATTTCCTTAAACTGATTCTACGTCATTAATTCAATAATACCTAATTAACAGTTACTATTCTCGAAAAAGTTATCAAGGTTGCACGTCATGAAATATGCATTTCGCTAACAAGAGTGCACCACCGATGTACAGTAGAATTGACTGATTAGAAACCTAACTATGTTACCTTCTTTCCACTTTTGGTGCTTGCTTCCTTGTGCTCGAAGTCACATACAATAAACGTCACCAGATATGTTGGCATGGGAGCACTTGCGCGGAAATGACTTTCCAAAAGCCCATCATACCTCCTGTCACACGATTCCAAAGGCATGTTTGACAGTGCCCTATAACTGTCATCGTGCACTATGGTGATGCGAAAGATCGCCTTGAACGCAGGCTCGTCGAAACAAGGAAAGGCCGAACGTGCATTTGTCGCTTCAAATTGAGTTGTTGCGAGATATCTGAAAACGTACGAACAAAATATAAAGGAGTTCGGCGTGATAGAGTTTTTCTGTGTAAGAATCAGATTGGAAAAGTAATTACAGTCATAGCCCTCTTTGACGAAATCCTAGACAAACTGACCTTTCATTTTCATTTATGAAACAGTCTGAGGAAGTAACCTGAAATATCTTTGCCTGTGAAGATATATCGATCGCTCGATTGGACTGATATTTCACTCTGGTTTCGGATTGTGCGTGTTCCGCGATGACCGCCTTAAGTTTTAGCCCAATAGCATGTGGCGGCTTAGAGCTAACAACAAACGAACAAAGGTTAGCTGTAGAAAAACCTGAGAATAATAAACAGAGCGGATAGTTCTGTCACTGCATTTCCGATATTTTTCCAAGCTTTAACGACAATAGAATGAAATCGATAACGTATACCTGAAAGGAGCATTGTTTGACAATTCTAACGTTAACGTACCTTACGTTTCCGCTCCTCGTCTTGTAACTGCTCTTATAAAAACCTTCCAGGCCGTCCGATAAAGCTCCATTAAATGTAAGATAAAGCTTGTAAGTCGCCATTTTTCTGAGGTCCTCTTTCATTATTATCACATATTGCTGTCTTTTCCCGTGTCGCATTCCTCGTGAAATTATCAATCTCTTCTCTTTCGAATCCATAATCTTTATTTCGCCGATCCGGAGATCATGCGTGTGTAATACCACTTTTTTCGTCTGTCTGTAACACCGTAACTTGATTTTGACATTGCCTGAGAACTTAAAAGTTGTCAAATTCGGATGAATATAAATGTCGTAGGATATCGGACGGATGTACTTCGGAAGCCGGTACGAAGAGGTGGCTTCCTCGTTAGGCTTTGAGTTTTTCTTTAACGTTTGTCCTCTTCGTTTGATTTGATAAATCAAGTCCTCCCTGTATCCATTTATGAAAGTAAATACAGTAGAAATGGCGATGATTAAGGCTACGCCAAAGGCTAATGCTAGAGGAAAAAGTCGTGAAACTGTCATGATGTTAGCATTTGCTTCATTAGTTTTGTTTTGAAATTTTGTCCGTGTCAGCGGTAAGCTAAGGAAACCTTAGGCAACGGGTGCCATTTGACAGGTCATTTCAGAGCAGAACGAACGAGACTAAAAGTTTAAATCTGAAACTCCAAGCCAAGTTATATTTTTAGTTACAGTTGTTGGTGTTAAAAGACACAATCTCTTAAAGCCCAGAATGCTTATTTACATTTTTTGCACGTCCAGTCATATTCTAGTCCAAACAACAGAGTTTAATGTTTTGTTTCTAAGTGAGGAAAATTGCTGACCAAAGCCAATTTTGGCAATCTCCAGATATTTTGCGTCATTTTCTCCAAAGACCTATCTTCTATTCCTAACAAGTTGGTAACCAGTATACCACATCAAAGCAAATGCTCGACTAAAGCATCTTGCCTTGCTATTGTCCCCAGAGCTTCACGCATCAATATTAATCAAAAGAATGGAGGCTGGGAAAAAAGTGTCACTCACTACGTTTATCCCTGCGCAAGCCCGCGCCGTGATTGTTTAAAAGTGCACATGCGTACCAGGGTTATTGGCTTTGGCTGGTTCGGCTCCATCAGTGTCCCAGGTTAGTGAGGCAAAGCAAATTGATCAAAAGACCACCAGTTATTACCTGTTACTTCTGTCACTAGTGTGTCCTCGTAATTTGTGATAACTAATCAGCTTCTTTAAATTATCCCTCCCTCAAAAAACAAACAGACGACAACAAATCAAACAGTTTTCGAGCTCCCTCTCTCTTTAGTTTCAAAGGCAAGCTACTTCTTGGCCACTTAATTTTTGCTTTGATTTGTGAGCCCTCGTCCTACAGCTGATGTTCTTATTGGTCGCCACCCTCCTTGCGTCACGAGAGATGTTTGAGAATCGCTGTTAATATTTTAAATCTATCTTGAAAATAACTGCATGATCTTATTAGTACAGAGATAATTTTACTTTACTTTTCAAGCTTTAGGACAAAGGGCTGGGCTCTTTGAAGAAACCTACTGCAAAAAAGGGGAAGACGACGGAGCCTAAGAGTGGCAATCAAAGGTTAACTTTCGAAAGAAATGCATCGAGGATATAGAGCAGCCTCGACTGAGGATGACAGCGATCGTTCATTTTCTCACTCGAGATCACGCGTCGGTTATCAAGGCAACATGATATGTAGCGGAAAACTGTGCGCGATATTTTTAACGCTATCCATCGCGTTTGGAGCTGTTGTTCTCTTCATTTTCTCGGCGTTTTTTCACGCCTCCGACAGCGAAATTGAGTTTTACAAACGGGCGATGGACTATATCACTGGAGATCGCTTCGCTCGCTCGGAAATGAACGACGACGAGAAATCATTTCCTCATAAGGAAATTCTCCTTCCAAAAGATCTAACTCCTGAGAGGTATCAAGTTTACCTACATCCGAATTTAACGACCTTCGACTTTCACGGAGGAGTAAAAATTGACATAATCTGCGAAAACCCGACTAGAAATATTCTCCTGCATATGAAGAAGTTAAACATCACCAGTTATGGAGTCCAGGACTCCAGCGGGAATCATCTTTCTGTGTTACGTGTCGCGCATAGCAAGAAATTGGAACAATACTTGGTTCAGATGAGGGATGAGCTGCAAAAAGGGGAGAAATACACTTTGAAGCTTGATTTTAACGGTCTCCTGTCCAACACAATGGCTGGATTTTACAAAAGTTCATACAAGACTAAGAGTGGAAAAATGAGGTAAGCAACAGCGATTTGACTTTCTTAGCTTAGTTTTTAAACTTTATAAGTGTGCTAGCTCATTAAAATTGCAAACTTCCAGTTTTTTTGCAAATTACTAAATTTGTCCTTAAAAAAGCAATATTTGTTGGATGTTTGCACTGTAGGGTTCGTCCCAGACCCGTTATATTTAATGTCAAATCGTATTTCCTTAGCTAATGAGCCGTAATATTTTTCTCAAAGTAAATAATATCTAAGACAAACAGAAAAACGTTGCTAGATCTCAGCGAAAATTCACGTTTCAATCAACTTTAATTTCTGACAAACATACAAACATACACTGCCTAGTAACTTTTTAATCACCCTGGCAATGACAAGATATAAACCGAAGAAGAAAATTTACGGAGCCTCGCCTTTACTGAAGAGAATTGCCTCCTGACAAATCAACGGTCATAAATGGAAAATCTGCTAAGTTAAATGAGTTTGTTTCACGTTGACCATTATTCTCTTAGGAGATTCGTTTTGAGCTCTTTTAAAGATTAATCGCGCAACATTTTGGCTTGAAATCGTCAAATTCACTAGGCAGGTCACACCAGCTACCCTATTTAACTTTAACGGTGTTTTGTTGTTGAAACACTGACAGCCTGACTCAGTGCCGCGTAGCCCGCACTTATTGTGCAATGGTAATATTTGGTTCGACTAAAACATTATGAGCCACTGTCGAATATCAGTATCTCTCTAAAGATACGAAATAATAGTTATAAGCTTTCACAAACAGAGATTTTTCTGTCGTCAATTGGTCTTTGATCACTGTTGCAGGTTCAGGTGCATAAAAGTCCCTTATATATTCTGACCAGGAGCCAATAACCCGAAGCGAGCAACTTCCATTCGCTCGTGTCACGGCGTTTTCATGGACCAGTTTACTTTTAGAATGGTTTTGGTGCGAATTTTGAATATCTTCGAAATTCCACAGACCAGTCAGCAAAGCCAACGGACCTAAAAATGATATTTTTTTGCGTTTTAATAACGTTTCGTTTTCCTTTTTGATATCTTATACTTCTAATGCGCTCATAAAAAAAACATGGTGGAGATTCTATTTTCGCGCGAAAAAGTGACCTAAAATGTGTCTAAAAACGCCGTGACATAGGCCTAATATGGTAGTTTCTCGCTCCGGGTTATGGGCTCCTGTTCTGACTCATCTTTTTGGTTTCTCAAGGTATATGGCGACAACACAGTTCGAGGCCACTGATGCTCGCGCCGCCTTTCCTTGTTTTGACGAACCTGAGTTCAAATCTCAGTTTATCGTAACCCTTGTGCACGAGAGGGATTACAAAGCCCTTTCTAACATGCCTGTTACAAATACTATATCACGCAATGATGGCTTCTTGGAGAGCCGCTTTCAAGAAACTGTTAAAATGAGCACCTATTTACTGGCCTTCATTGTCTGCGATTTTGCTTACAAAGAATCTCATACTAAAAGAGGAAACAAGGTATGTAAAAATTGTCATTCTTCTTTTTTTTTTTTCGACCCAAAGCGTCTACAAACTTCTACTAGAAAAAAGAGAGTACCAAATTTACTTGATTATACACCGCTCTCAAATAAGTGCGGCAGATGGGAGTAAAACTGCCAATAAACAACTCCCTCGAATAAACGCCGCACTCGATCAGAACATTCGTAGCCTTTTCCAGGCGTTCAGATAGTAGGGCGCGGGCGAAACAATTGACGAGGGAAAAATAGAACGAGTCCTCCCTCGTTTTTTCCCCTCGTTTTCCTTTTGCGCTCGCCGCGTACGATTTAACTCGCTCCCCAGAATCTGAGTGCCTGGAGTAGGCTAGAGAAGGCGGCGTTAATTCGAGGATTGATAAGAAAAAACATCTTTCTTTTTTCATAATATTTAAAAATGCTTTGTTGTAATTGTTAACAGTGATATCAGAGATGTGATTCTTTTTAACATATACGCCGTCCGTGAATAAACGCAGCCCTTGAAAAAATTTAGCATCGGAAACGCCAAAAACTTAATAAACGCCGCGGTGCTTAATCCAATAAATGCGGTAAGTAATAAATCGCTGTTTTCATCTCTTTCTTTCTACCACAGATCCGAGTATGGTCAAGAAAAGACGCTATTGACAGTACAGCCCTGGCCCTGAGCGTGGCAGAAAATGTTTTGAATTATTACGAAAAATTCTTCAATATTCCATACCCCCTGCCAAAGATCGGTGAGATGGAACTCTTTTTGCGTAGTGTTATGGTGCAGATGGTAAAGTATTGTACTGGGTTGCACTAACAAATCCATGTACATCATGACAACGAACGCAAAACGTTGGGATTCTTATCTAAAGTGGTTTGGTTCTGGACTTGCTATAAGACCCACGTTTAGATACAAAAAAACCAAAAACAACCAAAGAAACTTAAAATTACCGAGGCAAATTTGTTCTTAACAGAGAAGACCTATAAAGAAGAAACCCCATACAGCTTCTTTCAAAAGGGCGGGAAAGTTTGTTTTTTGACTTCATCATAATTTGCCCTCTATGTCTCGTTTCAAGGGGAGAGTTCTTTTGAATTCTGAAGATGCTACTTAACATTAACAGATATGTGTAAAAAAAACCCTAATTTTACCACCATTTGGATTAAGGTGTTTTAATCAAGTGTGAATAAAAACGCGTCTATTGATTTTAAGGTAAAGGCTCAGCAATCAATACTTAAACTAATATCACGATTAAGACTAGCCGCAGACGATACGCAGTGCTGGGATAAAACTGGAGAGAGAATTGCAAACACTGCAAGAGGACCCAAAATATATAAACATGATTGTAAATAGAACGAAATGAAACCACTCGATCGTTGATTTTTCGGTAGTACAAATTCGATTTGAGTGCCCAGAGAAATCAGGAAATCGATGAGAATAGGCCATGGCACCATGGTGCTCTTTTACTACCAGAATCCTTTTCGGTTTTCCTGTCATTTTATTTTTAATCTCAGCGAGGTGTGAATAAAAAAGTACTTGTTTGCACAAGAAAGGAAAACCCTGACGTATTCTGGTCGTAGCAGTAAAATAAAGTGAAAATGGCCTATTCTTTAGAGGTGGCGCCAAAGAATAAAAAGATTTTGTATGCTCGCAGACCTTGTCGCTGTCCCTGATTTTGCTGCTGGCGCCATGGAAAACTGGGGCATACTCACTTTCAGAGAGACGTACCTGCTGAGTGACCCGGCCGTATCTAGTGCCGCTGACAAGCAGGATGTTGCTATCGTGGTCTCTCACGAGCTTGCGCATCAGTGGTTTGGTAACCTGGTGACAATGAAATGGTGGAATGATTTGTGGCTAAACGAAGGCTTTGCTAATTACGTTGAGTACATCGGTACGGATCATTTCCGAAAAGACTGGAGAGTGGTAGGTGTCTTTGTTTGAAAGATCATCATCATCATTTATCATGAACAACATCATTATCATCATCGTCATCATCATTGTCCGACACTGTATTTCATGGGAACCCTCCGATGAAAAATAACCTCTATGGCCAAACGAATTTAATTCTCAACAACCATTTTTCAATCATGTTATCTTGCAGCTTGAGCAGTTTGTAGGGACCACATTACAGAGTGCTCTGTCCTCTGACAGTATGGAAAACACCCACCCCATATCAGTACCGGTCCATAACCCATCACAGATTACCGAGATTTTCGACAGCATCTCGTATGACAAGGTAAGAGGGACATGATATGAGTATGAGTATGTTATTAAATTATAATTAAACTGGTGTTACTGGTTGGGTCGTTCATAGTTATAAAAATCAGCGCATCTGTGATTCGAAATAAAAAGACAATTTCCCTTTATATTACGACAGGTTTAAGGACTAGTTAATGAAAATTGTCCAGTCAGTCACTGTATCGATTTTGTCTTATTATCTTTGTCTTTTTCACTTTCTACAGGGTTCTTCAGTAATCCGCATGCTTCGTAGTTTCATTGGAGATAAAAGGTTTCAAAAGGGATTAGAGGTATGCCACTTATTAATAACTAGTATGACGTATCTGTTAACTTATCACCCAGGCACATATATTTTGAATTCTTAATTTTCACTTTTCCGTGCTTTTTGTGTTTCATTATCAGCTCTATTTGAATACTCACAAATACGCGAACGCGGAGGCCGATGATTTGTGGAAGGCTTTGAGCAGTGTAAGTTCATAGTTATAGTTACAGTTTGTTGTTTAAATGTTTTGTCTTCCGTAACTGCGAAATTTCTTTTTCCGAGGTAGTGGTTTTATTGAGGAAGCCTCCTTCGAAGTATTTTGAAACACGAATTATACGTTCCTCTAAAGAATGTCCAAAAAAATGGTTTCATTGGTTTCAAATAGTTCATATCAGCCATTAAAATTGCTCCCTAACGTGATGAAAAAATATTAGCCTTCAATCTTTATTGTTCCCACAAATTCTTAGGGGCACCTCTCACGTGACTGAAGAAAGAAATGGAGCTACATCACACTCAGGACCTCTTTCATCTTTGCTCTCGAGAAATATATAGAGGTCCTAAGAACGAGGCTGTCTATGCTCAAATTGAGGTTGGCTCCTCCTAAAATATTCTACAACTGGTATAGGATTTAATGGAGCTGAAAACAATTGTGGAATTGCACACATTTTAGGCATACTACTGGGCCCAGTTGTTCGAAGGCCGATTAGCGCTTAACCCGGGTTTCTTTTTCTTGTGTTTAAAAGAATTTTCTCGGATAATTTTCTCTGTCACTTTTAAAGCTTTCAATAACCAACTTGTCGCAAAAAGAATTAAAACTGAACTGATTTTTAAACTTTCATATCTGAATTCAAATCTCGCACTAACCCTGGGTTATCTTAACCCAGCTTTGAACAACTCGACCCTGATGAACAGTTACGACGTGTAGATATTTCGAGCAACAACAATTTGCCGTCTTTCCCTGACTCATCCCCAGTCGTCCCTCTCTCTCTGTCTCTCCTTAGAGGCGCGAGGGGTGATGGGAAGGAGGAAAGCGAGGGAGAGAGTCTTCCTCCCTTTTCCCTTACCATCACCCCCTACTCCCGCGCGCGCGTTACGCGAAGACGACTGGGGACGAGCAAGCGCTTAGAACTGAAAAGTATAAGCGCTATATAAATATTTTATTACTATTATTATTACGAGTCAGCGTCTGTCCTCTTTGAATTGATATTTGGTGAATCTCTTCATTTGCGTGAGTGTCAGGCGTTTTTAGTGGAAAGGAGAATGAGAGAAGCAAAAAATAAAAAAAGGAGGTGGGGGGGGGGGGGGGGGGGGGGGGGGACAGCAGAGGGTCCTCAGCTCTCTCTTCCCAAACCCTCTTCAAATATCAAATCTCTTAGGCTATCTCTTCATCCACCTAGGTGTGCAAGGATCTGGACGTAAAGGCCATCATGGATACGTGGATCAAACAGAAGGGATACCCTGTGGTATATATTGAAGAAAGCAATGCACAGTCCAGGGACGGCTCAATAAAGATGATTGCCAGTCAGAAACGATTTTTGAGAGATATTAAACAGGGAACCCAAAAATATCACGATGAGGCTAAGGGGTGGGTAACAAGATTTATGTTAAGGGTTATCGTAATTTCTTGTTTAGCCTTGAAATTGAATAACTGCCATTGTATTACCTGTTGGTCCTTCGTTTTCGATGAAGAAATTGTTTGAAGAGATAATTGATTTAGATCAAGCTCCTGGTGTAGACACTAAGAGTCACGTGTATGGTGCTAGCTAACTCCACTATTTCAAATCTTTTTTTTTTCAGTTACAACTGGCAAATTCCACTGACATATGTGACGTCACAAAACCCTCACAAAACGCATACAGTGTGGATGAAAGAACCTCATGGTAAGAACAAGTATTCGAATGGCAGTATGCCACTCGGCTCTAAGCTGGCGATGCTTGTAGAGTGGAAGCAACCTCGTCTTCAGGTGTCGCTCCTCCCATTCTCTACGGAAAAATCCCTGGGGACGAGGGGGCAGTGGAACCGCTGCTCCTACAAGCAGACGCCTGAAACTGTCCCAAGCATATTGGCCATCTGTGAAGTGGCGCCTGAGACTGGGTCAGATTGTTGTGTCGAATTGAATTATGATACTGTTTTGCGTGAAAAATTTTGACTTAGCTTCCTGGGGATCCTCGTAATTTCGCATTCCACAAACTATAAGGGGAATGGATACAATCTTTCCGCGCAACGATTTCAGAGATCGTTTGGGTGGACAAGCGTTACGTTAGTTATGATTGGTCGATGGTATTCAAGGTAACCATTAACCAATCATAAGTTGGTGGACAAGCGTTACTTATGATTGGTTAATGGTTGCCTTGAATACCATCGACCAATCGTAACTAACCCTTGTCCACCGAAACGATCCTAGAAATCACTGCACCAAAAGCTTGTGCCCATTCTCCCTAGAGTTTCTGAAGTGGGTAATAGCCATCAAAAAAGGCCGAATGGCATCCCTAAAACAGGCCCACAGTACAATTCGAGACTAAACTGACTTAGTTTCAAGGGCAATATCAAAAATGGTCTTTTAAAAAACACTGTATTTTCAACTTTTCTAGGCCAAAAACCCTCTTTCAGCTGGTCTAAAATGAGTCCTCCTACGGGAATTTTCTTTGTATTTCGCTGTTCACTGAACTGTTATCTTTTATTGCTTAAAGACTGAGAATACTTACCATTTAGACAAGAAAACTAATAATTCTGTTAAGAAATACAAGTGGATCTCAGTGCGGTGGGAAAGCCTCGTAAAACTTATTGGCTGTCGTTCAACGCAGTGCATTTTTTCCACTCTTTCTAAGTCTTTCCAGCTGATTTGAATATGACGGCATTGTAGCGGCTCATTCTCCTAACAGGTCACATTGTTTTGATAACTAATGATAACGCGCGAGACTTTCGACCAGATACCGTTGATGTAAATGATAAGAATCCTGGGATACCACTCCTGGGAATGAGATCGAAAAACGGAAGCCTGGAAGTAATGGCTGTTGTTATAAGAGTCAGGATTAGTACCGGGGTCAGCGCAGTCCGTTTTTACGCCGCCCTTGACCTCTGTGCGAGGTGTTTCAAGCCCGACTCCCAGGTGTGACCTCAAATCCTTGTTTAAACTTCTTTATTTCGTGTAGGTTTTAAGACCTTTAATATAAACAAAAAACTGCATGATGGAAAAAGGGGGTTAAAAATGAGCGCACTTTCGGCCTCAGGTCTGTCAGTTTAAGTACCAGAAATCGTTAATAAAATCGTTAATGCAAATTTAGTAGGACACGAAATTTAAAAAAAAAAATAGAAATAGTAAGTAGGTTGCGTTGTCAAGCAAGCAATTCCTAATCCATCTCAACAGCTACAGTCTCAACGGACAAAAAAAAATACAGTTGGATCAAGGCGAACGTTGGTCAGACAGGACTTTATCGTGTGAACTACAACAAAAAGAACTGGGGAAAGCTTGTTAAGCAACTTAATCGCAACCACAAGGTATGCTACCTTACGTTATTTTCCTATTCTTTCACGGGGGCCATTACGGACCAGAAACTTCCTCGTTCTGGTCCACGTGACATGGCTACAACAGAATAGCCCACATTCGATATATTAAAATTCTAACATGACTCCGAGATTATTATTATTATTCTATCATCTTTAGATTCTTTCATCTGTGGATAGGAGTGGATTGATTGACGACGCCTTCAACTTAGCGAGGTAGGATATCAGAATAACTAGTAAGCTTTTATCAGAATGAGAATACAAAATACGGAAGACTGGTTTTGCAGTCTATATAAGCGAATTGTTCTGCGTACTCCTGGAAACCTGACGTCGATTTTTCTCTTAAAATTGTTTTGCCCGAGGAAGCAAAACAATCGCTTATTTGACAGTGAACTTTTTGTATAAAATGGCGACTTCCAACTCCTGCTGATTTATCCAAGACACAAATATAAACATTAATAATAAAACAGCAAAGACAAAAGCGACTCGAGGTTTCCCGATATTTCAGACGGAGCCATATTATTTGAATTGTAACGACTTTCAGTTTCTTCATTTAATCCCCTGAAGAAGAAAGGCTTGTCCGTCCGAAATATTGGAAACCTCAAGTCCCTTCTGCCTTTGCTGTTACCGTGGCCGTGACCTACTAAAGGCCTGCGAATAACTTAGGTGATGTCATGAATTCACGCCATAGATCGAATGACAAGCTACATCATGTGACATATGCTAAGCAATACTGTACACACGTACTCTTACTTTCACAGAGCTGGACAACTGGACATGTCCACCGCACTGAGTCTGACAGCTTACCTCGAGAAAGAAAGGGAGTATATCCCATGGTCTACTGCACTAGGTCACTTAGGATTCATCGGCTCCATGCTGAGCATGCGCTCATCTTATGGCGATTACGAGGTAAATCATCTAGGGAGAGGGAGAGCTAAGCAGAGAAGTCTACCGCGGTTTTACGTCTTTGGTCTCTTTTGTTTTGTTTGCCTGGATTTCACTTACCATGCAGTAGGTGGAACATGGGCAAAGATGTACACAACAATTAATCAACGTAACTATCTTTTCATTGTTCTCAGACTGTTGAGATTCCTTTCGTTCTTTTCGCGCCAGAAAAATGGGAAATGGCACCGACACCAGTTTTAGTTTTCATGCACTTACAATTTTGCTAGTAAACTTTCCAAAATTTTAGTAAAATAACAAAGAATTGTAGTATTTTGAATTTAGTTTTTGGAAGCAGGTACCAACATTACAAAAAGAAGAACCGGATACTAACAGGAAACCGTATCCTAATATATTAACAACGGAAGGAAATAAGGCTGATTCACTCTTGGGATTACAATTACTTTTTGCCAATATTTTGGCTTTTTTTCTTCTTGTTAATATTTTGAACTTTCAACAGTGACAAAAACAACCTTTTAACTTTGAAGTACTTTGACTAGACTTTGCAAATCTCTCTCCTTTGACCACGGTGAAGCAGAGAAGACTACTAAATCACAAGTCCGTGTTATGGTATATCATCACCCAAAGTTTTGCCCCAAATGAGTTCTTGGTGTTGACATCGGGTTAGGGGAGGGGTAGGTGAGTAGTTGCCAAGAATCCTATACGGCAAACTGTCCACCTACCCCTCCCCTAACCCAAAATTTATGCCCTAAGTGAGACATTGGTGTCAATGTTAGGTTATACTGATTCAATTCAAACCCGATCTTAATGCTCTCGTAGAGGTGTTATTCATAAAGTCATCGGCAAGGAATAGTAAAAGCTTTTTGCACTGGTGACCTGTAATGAGAAATTTTGCTTCTTTTACATATGCGCAGAAATATATCGTGAAAAAAGTGAAGCCACTTGAAAAATACGTCGGATGGGAGAGCGAAGGAGACATCTTGAAAATGTGAGTGGTTCTACTTTTCTTTATCGTGGGTACAACCTGTAGAACTCTTTTAATGTTGCAAGTTTATTTAAAGGTCGCGTTCAATGAAACCAAAACAGGATTGACCAATCAAAGAAGACTTAAAAACGAATAATCCAATCAGCGATCAAAGTGATATGTGAAGCGGCGTATAACGTGGGAAACGCATGCGAATACCTGTTAAAAGGCTCTGCATTGAACTCTGATTAGTTAAGACTAGAGGAACACGAGATAGCCAATCACAAACCACTACAATGCTAAATCAAAGCAATTCTACTACCTTCTTTGTTTCAGGTATCTTCGAAATAACGTGCTGTCGACTCTAGCCAGCCATGGAGATAAACACGCAGTAAACTACAGTTTGACTGGTTTCAGAATATGGATGCGCAATCAAAGGTTATTAACTAAATGTCAGATACTTTAACCTCTATTTTCCTCTTTTCCAGGTCTTAAAATTGCTTAAAATGCCAAGCCCTGACCAATAGATATCCTCATGCGCATCAACTGTGTTCGAAAAAAGACTTCTTCAATTCAATCGATGAAAAGACATGCTTACCATTTTGTTGACAAAACAACTTCCCCGCCTTAAAGCCACTTGTTCTATAAGGACTAGTTGTCAAGCGAACTTGGTCCGACTTGTTTAGGTTCGAACCTAATTCTGCTTTCTTCTTCATATGAGTTACCGTTTATGATTTTTTTAGTACCAAATTTTTTGTAGAAGACTGAACTAGCCCAAGGTCTGCACATTATATGCGCAATTACTGCAAACTTATCAATAATCAATATTCTATGATTTCTCTCATTACAGCCTTACGATTTCACCTCACATACGGGGCATTGTATATCACACTGCCATCAAATATGGTGGACTAGAGGAGTGGGAGTTCCTGTGGAACAAATACCTTAAGACTATTGACGCAACGGAGAAGTCCCGGATGCTTTCTGCGCTTTCAGGCTCCAAGGAACCGTGGCTTTTAAGCAGGTTTGGTTTCTCTACAGTTTTCAAAGTTTAATAATTCTGTTTCTTGTCTTCTAAGAAACTTAAGACATAAGCTTTAGGAAAAAGAATTTTTTTGTATACTATATTTACTCGAGTTAGCGCCGTTGAGCTTATTTAAGTTTACGCGTCTCAAATTCGACACATATTCAAGGTTGCACTTATTTGAGGACGCGACAAAGAATTGTTTTTACTTTATAGTGAGGTATTTCCGTGTTAAACTGACAGAATTAACGTCTTTTGAATTTCTATCGCGGATGTGGTGCTTAATCAGGGGGCTGTGTTTATTCTAGTTAATACGGTAAGTTTTGGTTTTTAATATTTAATAACAAGTTTATTTGTGATTACTTTTTGATGTTATCAGACTTTTAGAGTATTCGCTTGATGACTCCAAGATCAGGACACAGGATATGCTTCACGCCATCTCAGGAGTTGGATCACATATCTACGGCCGTCTGCTCACTTGGGACTTCATAAGAAAGAACTTCGACAAGATCGTTAAAAAGTAAGCGAACTCTATTGTCAATGAGACATTAAACCTTTTAGTATTTAAAAAGAGAGCCAGTACGTGCAGAGGAAGTAGTTTTTTGGTGTTGCGGGTCGGTGCCAATCACTAGATGGTGTCATACAAAAGAATGACAAGACACTGAGCAATACTCACACCACAACACAAAAGCTAGCCTGCGTAGCAAGCGTTTTCCTCTTCTCCCCTCCCCCTCTCCCTTTCACCTTTTTTTGCTCTCGTTCTAACTTTCGCGCAATAACTCGATTGGAAACGCTTGCTACGCAGGCTACACAAAAGCGAACCAACAATGGTTTCCGCCACACCAAGAAACACCCAAATGAAGTTTATGTAACTGTTTGTATTCTTATCTAGAGTGGGCAAGGACGCAATGGAAATCAGTTACTTGGTAGGCATTGCCACCCGAGGATTCAACACTGAGTTTCAACTTAAAGAGGTACGCTGGGGGTGGGGGAGAGTTCTCATAAACAAGATTGTGTGATGCAAAAAACAGGCCCCAGTTGTTCAAAAGGTGGATAACGCTATCCACTGGATAAATCGCTATCCAGTGGATAGCACAATTGTTTGTCCTAATTCTTATCTGCTGGATAGGATTTATCTGGTAGCCTGTTCCAGACGTTCAGATAGTAGAGTGCGGGAGAGTTCAAATAGGAGAGCGAGGGCGAAGTTAGCTCGTTCACCACCATCCGAACGCGGCTCTCTACTATCAGAACGCCTGAAACAGACTATTTATACGGTAGATAGTACTATCCATTGTTTGAACATCCGGGGCCAGGATAACACTTGTGTGACTAATCTATAATCTGGGTGCTATTGCCGTACAATTCCCGGCGGCGTTTTAATCTACAAAACAGGCATTACTTTTTCGCATATTAAGGCGGGAAACCTCGAGGCGAGTGAGACACGCCCGACTTGCCTCCACTTGCCTGAAAAACGCGGAAAAAAAAAAACCTGTTCTGCAGGCTAGCGCCCGTTTATGCTCACCATTTAAACAGTTCGTGTATCCAGCATGGGATATATTTCAGCACTGAATTGTTGCTTAGAATGTGTTAAAAATCCTTTCTCTGCGTCTGTATCCTAACCAAGCTCGTGATGCATGAACCCTTCATTAAACCAGTCTGTTGCTGCCCAAGTTTGAGGTACAAAACTAAGCCTACCGTATTTATTCGAATAAGCGCCCAACCTCGAATTAGCGCCCACCTCGAATAAGCGCCCATCCTAAAGGCAGAAAAAGTTAATAAGCGCCCACCCTCGAATAAGCGCCCACCCCCTACTCCTCCCATTCAAACTCAAATAAGCGCTCACCCCACCCCACCCAATTGAGTGAATAAATTCTAATAAGAGACTTCCCCGAGGACGGAGTCTTCTTCAGAGTATTTTACAGAAACCTTGCTTTGTTACTTCTTCGCGTTTTGTTATTAGCATTTATTGTTTTGTTACAAAATAAGCATACTCCACTTGCTGAAAATGGTGAAAATTTAATAAGCGCCCAGCCTCGAATAAGCGCCCACTCTCAAGGTCCAAAAATTTAATAAGCGCCCAGGGCGGTTAATCGAATAAATACGGTATTTTCCTTCGGAGCTAATAATTGCTATATAATAAGTGACTGGTGGAAAAACATAACTGTCAATGGGCTAAGCGCTACGAATTATATGCAGTTTCTAATTTTAAGCTGGACATGCTGCACGAAACACCCCCGTGAGATACTTATACCAATCCATTATCAGTGTTCCTGATTTAGTAAAACTACTTGTTTTCTTCTCGGTAGGTTAATAACTTCATTGACCAGCATAAAGACGTCTTAGGCCAGCTGCGTGCCACTAAGAAGGCCGTGGAATATATTCGAGGTTGCATCAACTGGATGACGGATCATGGCAAACAAGTGGAGGACTGGCTCAAAGAACAAGTGGCTGAAATAGAATCACTCAGCAGTAGATTAGAGGACCTTTAAACATGACTTCAAAGAATTCTCAAAATCAAATTATTATATCAACATTGTATGACAAGATACAAAAATATTCGTTAGAGAAGTTTTTATCTGAATGCACGGGACATTTGCAGTTAGTGAAGAATTGATATCGATCCGTTGATAGTTGTCTAAGTTGCCATCATGCAGAATGACATTTTTAACAGACAAATGCAATTTTGCGCGTCGGATATTGCTTTGTGTAGATGACACGTAGAAACTGATGGTCTATTCTTCTAGTAAAACTAATAGTGTGACTCAATGACAGAATTACATTCCGAGTCTCCTTATTATGAAAACTAGGGCCTAAGCTTATTTTTAAACCCAAATCTTAGAATCATATTTCCTAACTTAAATTCAACTTCTCATCTGATATGATCTTTTTCTATTCTCGAATAGTTAGGTGTACAGAGCACTTCTACTTAGCAATCTCTATACGTGTGTTTTGACATTTATAACATCTATTAAGCAATCAACTCTTTTCTATTCTTTTATTTTTTGCCACTACTCAAGGTAAACGTGATATATCTTCCCAAAGCGTGAAGATCGAGCGGTCAGCTAACTTACGCTTGAACCCCTGGGTGTCTCTTTCGAGCAGTGCTCCTAGTGCGTTCCCTTTCAAAGAGAATTTATTGCATGGAATTTATAAGTTACGATATATGCGGTTTCATGCTGTCACTAAAAGTCCCGTGTATAATCTGAGCATAAAGCGTAGTTACATACAGCGACCAAATATACCAGAACAAGAGCCAGGTGGTCGCTCAGATGCAAGACGGGTTAAAACAGTGGAATCATAAGCCGCCAAAGCAAAAATTGGTCGCAGTCGCTTACGAGAGATTTCAACTAAAGGGTTTCGCCTGGGTTTTAGATAGGTGGTCGTTTAACATGTTGTGGCATCCGAGATCAGAGTGCAAGACAAAATATGACTCTTGCTAAAATCAGCACGGTAGTATGTACCTGTTAGAGCAGAATGGTGGTGCGGCCAGGGACTCAATTATGCTCCGATGACTCCATCCAAATCATCCTTTTAAATCTGACATGGAGACCGTGGGTAAAGGATCACTGCCAAAGAACTACAGTCGACTCCCGATAATTCGAACCTTCAAGCGAAATCGAAAAAAGTTCGAGTTATCGGGAGCTCGAAAAAAATAGCCGGAAGTATTTTTAAAAACAGTTTTTACTGTACAGTGAACATTTTAATCACATTTTATTGTAGAAATGTTAGGTGAAAATTGAAAGATACTTTTAGATTGTAAATCAGAACGTAACGTAACGTAACGCCTAAATAGAACATGCGTTTCACTGTTATGAGAAGTAAAGCTGTTTCATGTTAGATTTGTGACAAACAATATCAGTCTCCACTAGAAAACTACATGTCTACAACACATCAATGGGACTTTGAAATGCAATGTTTCGAATGCCAGTACACTGGTTTTTGCCGACTTTTAAGGGCTCAAAACATGGTTCGAGTTATCGAGGGTAAAATTATCTGGAAATGATTTGAGGGGGAACAAAAATTACTTCCCGTTAGCGGAGGTTTGAGCTAGTTATCGAGAGTTCGAGTTACCGAGGGTAAAATTACAGTAAATGTAGGAAGGAAATCCTTGCCTGCGTCGCAGACGCTCTAAACCTTCTGTATAGAGCGTGACTATATCAATGGTTTACACGGGTTTGTGGGCCGGCTGCAACGCCGGCTAGGAAATCCAGGGAAAATCGATTTTGGTTCGAGTTAGCGAGGGTTCGATCAAGTTATCGGGAGTCAACTGTATGTCATATTGTTCGGTATAGTTGGAAATTTTTTCCCAATAGCGAGCACTCTCATTGGTTACTTTGAGGTCACATGACAACCAACAATGAAAATGATTCCCGCCAAAATCTCTGAGCGAGCAACATTGCAAAATCTATTACGTCAGAGGGTGACAGTGCACTGTTACCCCCGGGGGGGGGGGGAACTCCCATATGAAACAGACGGGGATGCTCGTCGGAAATTTTGAATTTAAACCCTAAAGGAGACCATCTGGGCGTGGCTCAAGCTTTTTGTGACCCCTAAAGGAGACCAATCTGGGCGTGGCATAAGCAAATTTTGACCCCTAGAGGGGACCGCTTAAAAACACACAAATACGACATGCAATGAGTTTTAATGATATAAAGACATAACAAACAAAGTTAAAAAGAAAATTGACTGCTATTTCTCTTCGCGTAATTCTGTGTTTCTTCGCGGAACCCTAAACGAGACCTTGGCGGCTCAAAATATTGGCGCTTTGCACGGAACACCCTAAGCGAGACCAAGATCCAAAATTTACACCCCTAAGCGAGACGACGAGCATCCCCGTCTGTTTCATATGGGAGTCCCCCCCCCCACCCCCCGGGCTGTTACCCTCGAATGTTGACCGACAACCGCAGTTGTTAATTTTGTTTCTCTCGGGACCAGTCATTAAGTGTTTAATATTTGATTCCCGATAACCCTTCTCAATCTTCGTATTTGTTCTGTTTTCCTCAAAACAAAATTACATGATATATTTTCACCCTGTGCTAATCAGTATGCAGGTTCAAAAGTGGCGAGTGCCGCATAACATTAACCGAATCTTTTAAAGTTCTCGACCAAAGAATTTGTGACCGTCTCGTAATTCTCTAATTTTTTTTAGGGAAAAATGTGGTCTCGAAATCTTTTGAAACAAAGTTACTACAGCAACTGAAATTTGCGATTAATTTATTTCGTTTAGCAGCGATTAATTTAACCATGGAATATACCTATCGATTTGAAGATTTTAGTTTTGATTTTTTGAAAATTGTCGTCGAAATTCATGGTCGTTCCGAGCATTTCATCTAATTCAAATCTGTTCAGTGTCCGGCTCAAATTCTTTTTAGTCTCGATCTCGGATTTTTTTCTCGCGGTCTCCGGTCACTTCGTCAGTAGTTCGCCGTCGCACTTACGTACTGATTTGATAGATTTCATAGACTACGAGTAGTCCCCATCTTTCCTCAGGGATAGTAGAGCGAGCGAAACTCGAGCGCTCGTGTAATCAACCCACGCGAGAAAGGCGAGACGCAGCGGGGAGACTCACTGCCGCGTCTCGCCTTTCTCGCGTGAGGTGATTTTCACGCGCGCTCTACTATCCCTAATCCATAGATTTGAGGAAAAATAAATCATACTGTTCCTTCTTTTCGTACTGATTTGAGGCTAAGTGGGACTTTTAACTGATAAGGGTAATATTTCGATTAGTTCGACTCAGTAGTCTTTTGCAGGGCCAAGCTAGGGCTAGTACTATATTGCAGAATAAAAGTCATAAAAAAAGGGCTCACAAATTTTAATTTAAATATAGAAATATACGTTGTTAATGGTGTCTACTGATTTTATTATCAACACGTAAAGAGTTTCAATACATTTAATAACCCCAACAGACTGCTTCGAATTCCACCTCATTTTTTTAAGCAATGACATTTTATCAAGAAATTGCTCTCTAATAATTATATCCTTGACAATATCCGGTGTAACAAATGACTCTCCGCTATAAAAAGGAGAATTAAAAAACGCACAAATGTTTTGATAAAAGATCTCAAGCCCAGATAAAAATTCAATTATGATTTGGTCTTAATAGTTTTTAAACATTCGTATCCTGTTTGTAAATTCCTGCTAACGCTTCACTATTAAAAATTGCTCTCGAATGTTCACTACGATATCGATTTAGCCCACTTAGATTTCACGTCCTTTAATGAGCTGATCAGGGGCCACTTTGTTTTGACAGTTCATAATTTACAAAATATTACTTTAGCGCTTCAGTGACAAATGCGCTTAGGCTGTAGAACAAAGGTCGTTCCAGCCTTTAAAGGTTCCTACGGAAAGGCCGTTGAAGAGCTATTGTGCGCAGAATCTTTCAGACCTTCTATTTCTGCTACCCTTCTGACGCTGTTGTGTTTCACGTTATAAGCAAATGTCGAGTTAGTGCCCGTGCGAGTCTTGCGTCTTTTCGGAGTTTTCAGAGAAAATTTACACCGCAAAATCTCTTTAAATGACCTTCGAAACTGCGCGCTGTAAAAACAGTACAAAATAGGGTTAGCTGCGGAATTTCCAAATATTATCAACTGAGTCAGTCTCCATACTTCGTTTCCCTCGTAAGCATAGAAGTAACGCAGTGCTCGTACAATGATAAAAGGGGACCAACAGCAAAAAAATACCAGAGTCACTACGGCTAACATCTTTGTAACTTTGTGCTGTTTTGATTCCACTGATCCCATACCAGCCGTGTTTCTAATATGCGTTTGCAAAACTCGCAAAATCTTCCAATGTGCCCAGATCATATACATCAAAGGGCAGACAAAAATCAGCACAGCTTGAAGCATGTAGTACGTTTGTCTTCCACTGTCTCCCCACGTCGTATTCAGGCAGAGTTGCTTGCCATTTTCTTCTTTGGTCGCGTACCCGTAGAATAACGGAGCGCAAACAACTATGGCCACTATCCACAGAATTTTGATCACGATAGTTTGTTGCGCAACGCTCCGATTTCTCGCTAGACTGGTTGATCTGACCGAGCGAGATCTTTCATGACTGATTGCAACTAAGGTCAATATAGAAGCGGTGTAAGAAATCTCGATAAGCGTACCTTGTATTTTGCACAAAGCATTGCCTCCGGGCCAGTCGTGCAGGAAGAAGTAGGACACATCGATTGTTGAGAGAATGGCGAATAAAAGATCCGCGGCGGCTAAACTGGATATGTAGCAGAGGAGAATAGATCGCGACGAGCGATATTTCCTATAGCAAGTTAGAAGCGCCATTATGTTTCCAAAGAACGCGACAGTAAAAAACACTGCGTAGAGAATGACATATCCCACGATTAATGCTAAAGGATACTCGGCCGTTTCATGAGTAGGACTGACAGTCGAATTCATGATCTTGGAGCTGTTAGTTGCAGCGTCAACGCTAGGCATCTTGGTGGTACAGACTACTGATGCGTGAGTTTACACACTTACAAATCAAATACAACTCGCTATAATGCGTCTAAAACGTGTGAAGCTGCTATCAAATTACGCCAATAATAAATCCTGAGCTCAATCAATTAAAACTGTGGTTCCAGCCTGCTCGATTTCCATCTGGTAGAGACCATAGAAATGCTTTCCTTTAGATCAAAGGTACTACGTGAGTCTTGTTTTGACTTTCTTATCACAATACAAAACAGAGAGAAATTTGCAACCACCCGACACGGTCTCTTGCGTACCGCATTGTCATCGGTTTATATGGCTTTCACAACGAGTGCCACATCTTCCTTTTTACACTTTGTCCCCGGCTTATGTCACGTCCGTGGTTTAGGGATCGGACCATCAAATATAATTTCCTGTGTGCCTTTGTCGCCCAAAACTTGCAAAAAAGGTTAAAAAACTTTCACAGTCAGATGCCGCACCGTAGGGCGTTTCATCAAATAACGATGAAAATAGTAAGTCACACAGTAAGATTTTTTAAATTAAAACCTGTCAGAGCAGCATGCATAACAATAACAAAGCAGTTGCAAAGCAACAGATGTTTTTAGCTCGCTTTTTGAGTCTCAGGCGATTAAGTTTGACATTTTTGGACGGAGAGAATGAAGTCTTACAAAGGTATTCTCAAACTACGTAGTTCTTTGCAGAAAAGGTGTTTGTTTTTGTTCGGATATCCGTATGCTTGTGTGTGGGTTTCTCAACTGACGTCATACAATGTGAGTAATTAGATGTAAAAGACAATTGTCTCACCTTTTGTTTGCGATTTATATTGGAGGATAAATAAAAGATCTAATTTCTTCGTTTTGTCGATGTTGGGGTTTAAAAGGTTTCCCACTTGAAAAGTGGAGTTGCTGTGCGCACCTGTTTAGTACCATACCACCGCGAGGTGTGAATTGTGACCATCAGACTTTTCTACTTTGAGGCCCTGGCGGTTCAACCGTTCGATAGCGCAATCCACCAGTTAAATACCCTGGCTCCAGAGGTCCGTTCTCGAAATACCTAATATGAAATAAACCGTGCTTACGGTTTGATAAGGCTCCAGAGACGGAGCGGTTATTTTTTTCTTACGGGGCTCCGCGCCTCTTTGACGCGGCTTCACCGCGAACGATCAGTATCGATGACAAAAAAAAACTTCTGAAAACTTGGCTTACAATTTGCTTCACAAACGCAACGCATGAAGTATTCTAATAGGCCATTTCCGAGTTTTCCCGGACCTCTGTATCGGCGAGCATCGGCATTGTTGCGTAACATTCAAAATACAAGGTAAACCTTTATATAGAGAGAAAACCGTTGACATAAAAACCCATAAAACGGCCATAAGTCGGCCCGTGGACCACACAGGAGAGACGTAACACACATTTTAAGCAAGGTAGGCTGTTTTTTATTGAAATCCTTCCATTTTTGTAGGTTAGAGAAACGATATGTTTTTTCCCATACCGTGAATCCTTATATTTTGAATGTTACGCAATAATGCCGATGCTCGCCGATGCTCATATTTCGAGCTTCGGCTACCTGTGATAAAACTCATTTGTGCCCTAGGCCTCATTTTGAAAGTGAGGGTTTTTGGAACTCGGAATTAGAAGTGGCCTATTGCGCGTTTTAGCTGAATGCGAGATTAATCACGTAAACCTACAATAATTTGGCAATACAAATTGACACCAGGGAAGCATTCTCAGTTTACCTATTAGGTACACTAGTATATTACTGTTGGCCTCAAAAAAACGTTCGCTTTAAATAATTCTTTTGGCCTTATTAATCGAATAAATCTCAGCTAAAAAAAATGATAAATAACTGATAAGTCATCCGATTAGGTCTAAATATCAGCCTCAATACAAAAAAAAAACTTAGAATAACAAAAGGTTAAGCATTATAAGTGGGGTTAAATTCTGTGTTAACAGTAGTTTTAAAGATATCACTATCAATCAAAAAATCTTCAACTACGTTTTGCATACTCAGTCTTAAAATGAACAATCTTTCGTTTAGCAATCTTTTTAAATATCATTTCACGCTTTACGCTTTAATGGTAAGAATAGCTTTCACTCTCATTTGATGAAAATATGAGATATTTTAAACTAGTACCTGACTTTTAAAATCATCTCTAAAGGAAACGGGTCTCCAAATGTAGTAGAACATCCTGGACACGACACGCTCACACCAGAAGTGCGAAAGACGCAACAGCCGGAACACCGGAACTGTTTGCAAGAGGGAGTGCTTACCAAGAGCCTAGTGGCTGTTTACATGAAGGAAAGAAGATCCTAGCACCAGGAAGACCCTTGAAGTCGGAACAACTTTAAGTTTGGTTTACATGCAGAAATTTCGGTCCCGTGTGGTTATCAAGTAGAGGAGGAATTAAAGATGGCAGGGAAAATAACAAGCATCTAATCTGGGCCTACCCAGGGTACCAGAGGCTTTTTCTCGCGTGCGACGAGGAGCTTCGTTGGCCTGCGGCCGACACGTCTTCGGCCAAAGACCGAAGACACGAGCGGCGAAGCCGTGAGAAAAAACCTCTGGCGCAGAGCGCCCTGATTAGTGCCAGGCTCTCAGATAGTATAGTGGAAACGTATTAAAACGAGCAAAGCGAAAATAAGACGCGCACGACTTGGGAAATGGGGCGGTGGCGGCGGATAAAATAGGAGCCGCCCTGTCTCCCCCCAGCCCCCGCGCGTTTTTCGAATTTCTACCACCATCTCGGAGCCTGGAACAGGCTACGCCCTGATTTACCGTGCTAGATGGACTTTGACCTTGTATCTAATCTTCAAAAGCAGCCTCCCACGCAGACGTTCTTAGGGCTTCGTCACGCGTTCTGTGGGGCAGGAACGCGTGACGAACCCCTAAGAACGTCTGCGTGAGTGGCTAAAATAAACTACCTTTCAGAAGCAGCTGGCAGAATCATCACAATCATGATCAGCTTGTGGTAACGTCAAACGAAATTGTCGACCTTTATTGCCGTGATTAGCCACCGGAAAGACCCTTCGCCATTTTTGTCTGGTTTCGGTTCCTAGCACTCAGGGGATCTTCCCTAGCGAAAGCAGTTTACATGGAGTTAAGATCTTCCTACCACTCAGCTAGGAAGATCCTAGCGCTAGGGACAAGTACAAACCTTTGCATGTAAACTGAATACAGAGAACATATGGCCATAGCTAGGATGATCCTCCTTCTAGGATCTTCCTGGTGCTAGGATCTTCCTCCCTCGATGTAAACAGCCCTTAAAACTAGGCAAAAGGGACTTGGGAAGCCTAGGATGAGTTCCTCGTCTTACTCTATGCTTAAAATAGACTGTTGTTTCTATTCCAAGACTGTAAGCTCTTAACAAAACAAAACTAAACTATCTCGACAAATCTCGACAAGTCTCGAGTCAAGTTCCATTCAAGAGTCCGAATTCAACCACAACGTCACATGACCGAAACACGTGATAATTGTCAGGACGTACATAATGTAACGCAACTCGAAATGTCACTAACATTTCTTCCCCTCCCGAATTACAGGGAAGCTGAAATTCGAATACATTTTAACTGAAATACATCTTTAGCTCTAGATCATAGTTCTCCGAAGTGTTCTTGTTACACATTAATCTGATTACAGTTCGGTGCCCGAATCTCCAGCGGGGAGATTCTAGTTATTGGTCGCTTAAGGGTCTTGCCATTAACCCGTACGTCCACCACTCGCACAAGGCCATCAGGGCCAGGGTACGTCTGCTCGATACGCCCAACATTCCACTGTCTCCTCACTGTTCCGGGATCGATAACAACGACAACATCTCCAACCCGCAAATTGTCGTTACGAAAGTACCACTTCTGTCTTGATCCAATCTGCGGTAAGTATTCTTTCATCCATCGGTTCCAGACATGTCTTGTGAGCTCTTGTAGTCTTCTCCAGCGCTTTCTGGGATTAAATGGCTCGGTGTCGACGCTCTCTGGTACAAAATCACCACCTATCTGCCCGATCAGAAAGTGATTTGGAGTCAAGACGCGGTCGTCGTTAGGGTCGTCACTCACAGCTGTTAAAGGTCTCGAATTCAGCAGACTTTCTACGCCAATGAAGATTGTCTCCAACTCCTCATCATTAACTTCTGCATCACCGAGGACAGCAAAAATAGCTCGCTTTGCTGCCTTGATCATAGATTCAAAGACTCCACCAAAATGTGGCGCTGCAGGTGGATTCCATTTCCAACTCACTCCTTTATTGGAGGTCATCCGTTGTAGTTTGTCTTGGTCTATAGCAGAGACTAGGTCTCGCAGTTCCCTCGATGCGCTTACAAAGTTCGTTCCATTGTCACTTAACATTTGCTGCGGCCATCCCCTCCGCGCAGTCATTCTGACAAAAGCGTTAAGAAATGCATCAGTGTCCAAAGACGACGCCATCTCTAAGTGGCAACAATGGGTCTTCAAACAGAGAAACAAACACAAATAGCGCTTAGCTCGCACTCTTCCACGTCCTTGCTTAGTTAAGAAAGGTCCTCCAAAGTCTACTGCACAGCTCTCGAAAGGTCTGGAGGATTGCTGCAGTCTACTCTTCGGTAACGGCGCCATTTGCTGGTGAGCTGGCTTTGATCGAAATCGTCTCGCACACTCAAAACATTCTCTCATGACTCGTTTCACTTGTTCACGAACATGGACCACTAAGTATTTCTCCCGTACATGATTAATCGTATAGTTAAGCCCCATTTGATGACCCTCTGATTCATGGTAGTACTTAACGATCAGTCCTGTGACATGATTCCTCTTAGGCAGTATGATTGGACACTTAACATCATATGGGAGATCGTCCGCATGCCGTAGTCTGGTGTTGGACCTCAAAATGCCATTAACTAATACTGGATTAAATCGTGCCAATGTACTTCCTCTTAGGATTTCCTTGTTCCTTCTCAATGGCTCTATCTCCGCTGAGTACACCTTAGACTGAACCTGCCGAATGATAAATTCCTCAGCGTTTTGAAGCTCCAATGGCTTCAGTTCACCCTTCTCTCTTTGCTCCTCTGGTTTCCTACAATTGTCTGTAAATCGGCGCACCCACGCTGTCACGCGAACTAAAGACAACCCAATTTCCAGTTCTCCTTTTGTTTTGACTCGATACCATTTCGAGTATCTTGAGGGGTCCAATCGCCACACCTCTTTGACACTAGCCGTTTCTTCACCTTCTCCAATTATTTGGTAACTGGTAGCATCCTTTGTGCCTGATTCTTTTGTTCCTTTAAGTTCAAGGTTCTCTGTTGACGTTGGCTTGTCAAACTTGCACTCTGGCCAGTCTTGTCTTGACTTTTTCAGAAATTCGGGCCCATTCCACCATAAATCTGCGCTTGCTAACTCTTCCACTGTCAGGCCTCTTGTTCCAAGGTCGGCGGGGTTTACACCCGTAGGAACATAGCGCCACTGATTAGGAGCAGAGAACTCATGAATTTCTCCAACACGATGGGCTATGAACGGCTTATACTCTCTACTTTGACCTTGGATCCAGTACCCCACATTCATA